TTCGACAGGGGCGCCCATGTTGTCCGAAATTGAAATAAAAAAAAAAAAAAAAAAAAAAAAAAAAAAAAAAAAAAAAAAAATTCGAAAAAAAACGTCAACGAAATAAGATCCGTAGTATTCAATAAATACTAGCAGCAATCGCAGACTTTAAAGGAATAAGAAAAATAGGGGAGTACCGCGTAGCGAGGCACGGAATGCCCAGACGAGACGGTAACTGACCGGGGAAGACCGCAGAATTGTTGCAGAGATCCAGACAGGGCGATGAATGTGAGGGAGCGAGAACGAGTAAAGAGTCCAAGAAGAGAGGAAGATGAAAAAGTAGAAGAAGAGAAAGGGAAGAGAGAGAAAAGAGAATGACGCTGCCTGGGGAGGCAAGGTTGAAATAACAAGTTGAACCGATATACTACAGTAAGAGACTCGGATATGCTGAACTAGGACTAGTTGCAGTGACTACAAGTACGGCCACGGCCCTTTTACTACCACACACCCCATGGTGTAAGCGTACGTACTCGTAACTTGGACGGAGTATTGTGGACACCAGCTAAAAAAACCTGAGGCTTTTTTCCGTTTAGGGAAGAAGAAAAGAGAAGCGGCAGAAAATAATGAATGAAATCAGCATGATTGTTCCCTTTGCCTCGCCGCGCCGCATTGTGACCGCCTCCCTTTCCCGGTGTGTGTCACGCCGTATGGTAAATTACCGGACACGTCTATGGGCCATTTATGCAGGCTAAAATATTAAACGATGGATCATGGATGACGGTATCCTGCATGTCAAGAATATTGTATGTAATGTTATTACTCTGTAGAAACACCCAACACCATGATCAAGAATCATATGAATGCTATCCATGAATTGAATGAATTGAACTGTGGCGCATGATTCGAGACCGCTTTGTTTGCATCAAACTTACTCAATCGTTTCACCTTGATCCTTCGCGATATCTCGACGGAGTAGTACGTACATAGTACCCTTGCAATATAAAAAGATTGCTATTATGATTATCAGGTCCAATCCATTCTACCACGTACTATAGACACTTTGATTGATTTGTTCCCTGGAACACTCCTCCCTCATGCTGACTAAGGTTTCAAATTCCCCCTCACCAGCGGTGACGTAGTGCCATCCCCGATGGTTGTTGAGGCTGTGCATCCCCGCACCCTGGGCCCTTATTGCACACACTATGGCAGCATCCAGTCTTTGCAGTGGCTCATTCCGAGCGAAGCTTTCTTGGCTGTTTGACTGATCAATCAATCATCTTTTGTAGATAACATGTTTGATTCTCACATGCCGTGATGGCACATCTTGCTCACTCACTGAGGGGTAACGGGATCCGCCGAGAGTGATATTACTACTTACTACTCGTACTCTGTACTCTGGTAAAGAAAAGAGTCTTCTGTCTACCACGCGGGCTAACGGTGTTCCGATCATTAGTCTTTCCCGCACCCGGACGAAATGTCGGCAGTCAGTTTTGGTACAGCGTACGTACCCTCTCAATAGTGTATCTGAACTCCAATGATAAAGTTGATTAAGGCATGCCTTGGCTACAATTCACCCCTCCCAAACCAAAGGCCAAGAAAACACTTCATCCACTAACATACAAATACAAAATACCTTTACTTCGGAGCGCTTGCGGTCAGATCATAGCTCCCTCTCTTTCGCTTTTTTTTTTTTTTTTTTTTCATTTTTTATCCAATTTTATTACTACGTTGTATGACCCGTATGCATCGATCCCAATCGGGGTTTCTCGTGGATCCCGTGGGTCAGTGTGTCTGCGAGTGTATGTATGTATGTGTACAGTGTACTCGTTAGGACTCGTTAGGGTAGGGCATTTAACATTGCCGTGTTCTCGTACTAAGTACCAATACATGGCACAGACGACAAGCGAGGTCCTGCACAGGCCTATCAAAGCTTTACCTTGAAGCTCTCGTCTGTGTTGTACATATTTATGTACTTGTAGCATGTATTATTATGTACGATGGATGCATGATCTTCAGCCAGCTAGTTTTTCACAACGTCAGAATCTCAAGTCCTCCTCTCGGAACAAAAGCAAGCTAATCGTACTCTAGCCAAAGTATGTACTACTATCTCCATAGCTCATGCTAATGCGGAGAATTCTGTACGGGGTGCTAGCCTCCAATAATACTCTACTTCATACGGAGTACAATACTGTCTATACACCACCTGCCTCTCCGGGAAGCAACCAATCTGGCCCTGACGTAACAAACCTCGGAAGCCTCCACTAACGAGGGATTTTTTACATTCTCCAATGATAACCCGCGAGCCTGCTTAATAAGGATTGTCCCCCGGTGTCGGGTCTGCAACACATGGTGCGGTCCGTACTGTAAGTGTGCACTATGTGGGTATGTGTGTGGATGGTGTGTGTGTATCTTTCATTATTTCCAGCCAGGTCAGCTCGCGGCAGGAATTGTGCATAAGAAAAAAAGTAACCCGATACATTCTTCCAACCACGCACCATCGGCTGGACACGGGTTGGCTTGATTTGATCGTTTTATTGATCGGTCCAAGACAAAAACAAACTCACGGCATGACTGCTGACCGCCAGTTACCCTCGTATACCTTCTCCTCTACTGAGAGTTCCCGTAGCAAATAGAATCTTTGGGCATCCAATACTGGACAATTCAGCAGGCGCCTCTGTACTCCTCTGCGCTCGTGCTCATGCTCATTAAAACATTTGAAACGAGACGATTGGATCGGCTGGATGGATCCATAGCCTGTAAAGGGGACTTGTACAGGGCCAAGCCCTGCCTCTGCTTATCCTTATCCACCTCATCCATCACTCAAAACGAATCATCCGCTGCCGTTGCGCGGTCAAGCTTTGACTTGCATATAGAGTGTGCTGTTATACTGAATATATGTCGACTCAACCATAACTACGCTGTTAGGATTGATAATAGAAATGCTAGAATGTCCTCTGTATTGTTGTGCTATCCTATACAATAAATGTCTGGTTGTATCCGTTCTTTCCGGCTTGGTTGTACTGCATCTGTCCACTGCATCCCGAACCGCTCCTGTGCAGCTTATATATTGCACGACGCACCTTGTCCATGTCCAATCGCTTGCTCTGATTCGGCACCGGGAAAGAGAACACGCTCAGGATACCTTTTCCGGGCAATGCAACCGAGAAGACTATCAGGCAGCCGGTTTAATTGTCAATGGTGACTTAGACTGCGCCCAAGCGCAGGGATGACTTCTTGGTTCAGTCTTCCAACGCGTTTGGCGTCATTAGAATATGCTTGTCCCTGTCTTGAACCAATGGTTGTTTGCGCGTCTAGTAGCGCAATGACTGGGATCATCCACATGACACGATCATACAAACGATCCCAGTTTATGCCCAAGGGACATGGTCGGAGCGTTCATCTTCAATAATTTTGACATCGCCGGTCCAAGGCGCCAATGGGAATAGGCCAGAGGATAGTATCATATTCATCGTCCAGTCGTAATATTAGAACAGAGAGGTATATGTTCATTCACAGGCCTATGTCAGAACCCGAGTCTGTCCACGCGTTAGAAACAACACATTCAATATCGCAGGTGATTACATACCACGAACTGTTCCAAGGACTCTTCAAAAAGCTCATTGTTGACTCCCACACCACCAGGGTGTTCCACCGGGGACAACGGATTCTTGACCACTGTTGAAAGATTCCAGTCAGGACCAGAGTTCAAAGTATGTACCCTCCATCACATACCATATTCGACGTAAAGATTGATGTAAATCTGCTCCAACGCGAGTCGCATGCTTGGGCTCTTGAGATCCGTGAGCATCACGAACTTGATATTCGTCGGCGTCTCGAAATAGTGAAGCTTGTATTGATTTGTACGGTAGGACACAAAACTGCACACAAAAAGCGATCGTACCGTCAGTCACCTGTCACAATGAAAAGGGGTCTAAGGGGAAGGGGTCTTACTTGTCATCCTCTCCGCCTAGCTTGCGGGCCATGTTCCGTAGGGAGAAGACTGTGCCAAAAATGAGCTTCGCATCGTCATCTGTTGTCCGCGCAGACTCTCCAAACAACGCTGGCGAACCTCCGGCGCCCTGAATTGAGAGATCGGACGCTGGTCGGGAAGATTTGCTTGTGATCGAGACTGGACGAGGGAGCCAGCGTCGTTTGTAAATGCACTCGGCTGTTAGAACAATCAATATTCAGCAACAAATCATATCTCCCGATGGAAGGAAGCATACCGTGACGATCAAAAATGTAGAACGAATAGACCACCATGGTGCCTGAACTGCTGGCGCAAACGACACGACAATGAGTTCAACAACCCCTGGAGGTCCAGAGAAGCAACAAGCAGATCTGTATAGGGGGCAGGCGGTGAGACGGTTATCGATAGCCATAGCATTAGTGATGCCGCTATTCTTAGCAGCCGTCAAAACGAAAAGAAATCCCCGACCGCAAATAAGAAAGACAGCGCAGCGCCATCATGAGAGCTGCATATTTGTGCTTATAGCATATAATAGAATTGTACTTATATTATTACTTGCATTCCTATTCTGTCTCTTTTGCATTTCAAACCGTCCACGTTCCCTCTGACAGCGGCAGTAGTTTGCTGTCATCTTACCATATCACTATTTCTTCCCCACATTCGGCCTTACTCGCAGTCGTTTTCTGAGATTGCCGCCAAAAAAAGACATTTGATATATTCCTCCACCATCTGATAGTCGCTCTTTTGGTCTCAATTTCCAGCTGTCTCGGTCATCGCTCAGTTCAATGGCAACCGAAAATGTGGACGCAACTTTGCCCGATGATCGTTCGGAGTCTCCCCTCGTCGGCAACTTGAATGACCGTTCGGCCTTTCAGCGCTCAACGCCAGCTCGTTATGCGTATGTCTGCAGCCCTCAGAAGACTTTTCATCGCTGGTCTCATATGATTGATATGCGTTGGGGTTGACCGCTAACCTGATATGCTTACTGTCCAGATCGACCCCATCATCACATGAAGGCCTACAGAGACACCACCGTCGCAATCCGATGGTTAGACGTCAAGTAAAGGTTTGTGCACTATTATGGGAGATCTTGTCATCGCCGTCGGTCAACTGACTGTGTCAAACGAACAGGAAACGCTCAACGCTCGTTCGGAGTATACCACCAGTCAGGATGACGGTACCGCTGAGCATCGCATCAACCAATACCTGATAAAACAGGAAATTGGTAGAGGCTCTTTCGGGTCTGTACATCTAGCGGCGGATCAATATGGCAATGGATATGTGAGGGCTATTCGAAAACCAAACTACAGAGTGCTCTGTTTGGCTGACAGATATTCCGAGTCAGGCCGTCAAAGAGTTCTCAAAGTCACGGCTTAGGAGACGTGCTCAATCCCATCTTCTCAGGAGGCCTCGAGGCCCACAACGCTCGGGGTCAGGCTTCAACTCCTCTGCCCATCGCCCACCCCCAGGAAGGGGGGATGGATCTGCTGGAAAGGCCATTGATCTTATCAAAGCAGAGATTGCCATTATGAAGAAGCTGAATCACAACAATCTGGTATCTTTAATCGAAGTCTTAGATGACCCGAAAGAGGACTCGTTATATATGGTCATGGAGATGTGCAAGAAAGGCGTGGTCATGAAGGTTAGTCTGGAGGAGAGAGCTGATCCATATGATGACGAACGCTGTCGCTGTTGGTTCCGCGACTTGATTCTGGGAATTGAGTATCTCCATGCGCAGGGCATTGTACACCGAGATATCAAACCGGACAACTGCCTCGTGACAACCGATGATGTACTCAAAATTGTCGACTTTGGGGTGTCCGAGATGTTCGAGAAAGATTCAGACATGTTCACTGCAAAGTCTGCTGGCTCGCCAGCATTTCTTCCGCCAGAGCTATGCGTCGTGAAACACGGAGATGTTTCGGGCAAAGCGACAGACATATGGTCCATGGGTGTAACTTTGTACTGTCTTCGATATGGCAGGCTGCCTTTTGAGAAGGGAAGCATCTTCGATCTCTATGAGGCCATCAGGAATGATGATGTCGTATGTGAAGGGGAGACCGATGAAAGCTTCAGAGATCTGATGCATCGGCTATTGGAGAAGGATCCAGCAAAGAGGATTACGATGAGTGAGCTTCGGGTGAGTTCGACATCAGGCCAGACTCGCAAAAGCATAGGGCTTACCTGTTACATTAGGGACACCCATGGGTGACGAAGAATGGACTCGATCCTTTATTGTCGGAGAGCGAAAATACGGCAGAAATAATTGAGCCTCCAACAGAAGAAGAAATGAACTCGGCCATCACGAGGACCGTGGGACACATTCTTGCTGTGGTGGGTTATGAGCTGCTTATATACTGCATTGAGGCAAGCTGACAGAAAGTAGATCAAAGCCGTGAAGAAATTCAAGCGACTGGTAGATCCAAACAAAGAAGAAACTCCAATGCAGAGTATTCTGGGCCAAGAATACGAGGCGCATTTCGTCGAGCCACCCATGGAGATGGAGCCGGACGAGAGCTTCGAGTTGAGCAACAGCATGTCGATTACGAGCAAGAGCCAGAGCCTGGACACATACAATCGGGATCCTTCAGAGCGCGAAAATGTATTGCAAGGATACCACCAGCAGCGTGGTGGACCAGCTGCGAGATTTCTTCCAAGAAGAATGGATTCCGGTTCGGTACGTAGCTCAGGATTTCGGGCCGACTCTACGGATGACTTTCAGGGAGCTTGGTCCCGATCGGGATCTCCTTCGATTCCCCCATTATCACGAACAGACTCGGTCGCTACCAAGCGAAGCATAGAGGGAACACGCGGCCATGCACGAGATCCGCTGGAAGAAGAGTTCCCCTACCTCTTCATCGGCCCCTCAACATACACAGGGTCATCGCACAACGACACAGACGACTCCCAATCAGCCACCATTTTCGAAGAGCCAGAAACCGCCAACCTTGAAGATACCCCCATGACCGAGGTCGACGACGTCCCCATCGTCAGCGAATCCCCCGGCGCGGCCGAATTCGACATCTACGAAAACGCCTACCGCGAGGAAGTCGAACGCATCTGCAAGCACAGCATTCCCCGCCGCGGCACCGCACCGAAGATGTACCTGACCCGCCGGGTAGATGGCAAAGACGAAGTAATGAGATTGGTCCAAGACCCCGAAGGCGGCTTTGAGCCAAACCAGCGAAACCAGCAACCCCTTTCGCAGACTGTCCCCATCGGCGGGAAAGTTGCGGTCACGCCGTCGTCTAGTTTTACATCTGCCGTGGGGATGATCAGGACGCAATTGGAGGAGCAGAGGCAGCAGCAGCAACCTCAGCCCGAGTCTCAACCCGAACCCCAGCCTCAAGATCAGGCAATGCCAGAACCTCCCACGTCAGAAACTAACGACAAGAAAACCCCATCCTCACCGCCTGAGAATCCCCGCGCCAAACTGCGGTGTCTCCTGGGACGTGTTAGAGGGAGTTAGAGTTGGCTTGGCTATGCTGAGTTGGCGCTGGCTGGCCTTCTTTTCTTTCGTGCATGAATAATCTAAGTTCGGCTCGTAGCATAGCGATTGACATCACTTGATGTGAGATATACTGGTATATACATTTCTGAGCATGTAATATCAATATTCAATATTTTGCCCCATTCTTTTTCCCTATATGCTGTTCATCAGAAGTATGAGAGATCTAGCAATATTTAATATAATGGCGCCATTCGATGTGCGCGTAAGGTACTCGTGTATGTAGAATCGTAACTAGCAGACGTGCATTTGTCTGGATTCTGTATATCCTGGATGACCTTGGCTTGATAATTATACGCTATCTACTTAACTGCCAAACCAAAGAGAGAAAATGATTGATTATTGATTGTCTATCATGATCCGGATCGAGGCAAGGCACATCCCCTATTCGCCTAAGTTGCTCGCCAGAAAGGGACGGTTGAGCTGAATAGACACTCGAATAACCGTCCTATTCGAGGTCAGTACTCTCTTCATCAAAATATCTGACATATGAAACAGTACATATTACCTTCTTTTCCCTAACCCTGTAATGAACACCATGTACATTGGTTGAATGTTGAATATCCGATCTGTTCGGAGACGAGACGAATTTGCCAGGCAACACTTAGTACATCGTATCAACAGAAACCAGATGAAGGAAACTCATGACATAAATCAAAATGGAAAGGACTTGGTAGTCCATTTCCCCAGGCCCGTCCCTGCCACCCAACCGGGGCCGTGTATATATTGAATAACTATAGGTTATATGATTTGACTGGCATCACGTCAAAACGGGGGAGCTCGGTGGTCTTCCCCCCAGGTCCGTCCCTACCACCCTACCAGGGCTTGTTGAGTACCGTGGGCACTATACAACATTAGTAAAAGACACCATCAACATGTTTTGATACTTACCTCGACGCGACCTTGTTAAAGTTAGTCAGTTAGTCCCAGGCCCATCCCAACCACCCTACCAGGGCCTGAAATCAAGAGGATGAATGGCTGAATGCTTTGACAGATATCACGTCAAAACGGGAAAACTCGGTGGCTTTCCCCCCAGGCCCAGCCCAACCACCCGACCATGGAGCCTGTTGCTTATCTAGAATACTCTAATCAAGTTAAGCAGTCAGTCCATCAAATAGGTAGAGCACTCACATCAACACGGCAGAAGCAGATTTCCCAGGCCCAGCCCTACTGCCCAACCAGTCCTTCCTACGAGGATAGAGTCCTCGCGGTCCAGCACGGTCAGTCAGCAGGCGACAACTCGTTGGGACCACTGGCTAGCCCATGATTATCACCAGCCTCCCTCCAGGGCCAGTTTGTGCTGTTCTACGGGAGTGTGGGTGTTCGTGAATTCGTAACTTCGTAACTCATCCCTGCACCCTACTCAGCCGCCAACCATGGGGTGCCTCAAGAGGTCTGTGTGTGTCCAAGAACAGAATAGATGATAAATAGATGGCAGTAGATGGCAGATAGACGAAGATAGATGGCAAAATATGAAAATAGATGATGAAAGTAGATGGGGAATAGATGAAAAGAAAATTGTTCTAGGATGAGTAGATAGTTGGAAGAAGGAAGAAAAAAAGAGGAAGAGGAAGAGAGCGAGCAGCGTATATATAGACTGGTAGGCAGAAGTCAGGGCAGGCAGCGATGGAAGAACCCAAGGCAATAAGGCACGAAAAATGGGATGACGAGATGAACGACGATGCATTCAAAAAGATATAATAATATGATGATCCTAATTGTATTCTGTATTTCTGGTATGAATATCTATTTCCTAGGATTCGTAAATCATATCCAAGTTGTCCCGTAAGACTTGACATGCCAAGTTCATCAGTCCTAATCATACATTAAGAGACTATATCCCCATCTCCTCACTTATGGCCGTGTATCGTTTCTCATGATTGACAAATACTAGTCACACATTGCATCATTGCACATCGCGCGTCTCTGACACATCATCGTGATGTTTTCTCAGTTGCTGGGTCCAAGGTCGGTGCCGGCGCTATTATACGATACTCCGGTCTCCTATTGCTGGCAGGTTCTGCCAGCATAGGTCGAGGTGTATCGAATGCCCGCGGGATTCGATCAGGATGGAAATGTTCAAGGGGTGGGTGGCTAGGATTAAATCGTGGCATCGGTTCCGGATGTCCCAACTGTAATTCTTGAGGCGATGGGAGAGTCTGCCTTGCTTCCATTGGTCGCGGAAGTTCCCTGCTGGTAGTATTGTTGACCGGTCTCAGAATCTGATCGCTCATAGCCCTTGGTCTTTGTTCATTTCCTCCAAAGCCAGCGGACCGGTCCAACGGTTGTCCAGCGGGAGGTCTATGGTGGATTTGAGGTTCAGGTTTGAACCCCTCGAAACCCTGGGCATTGGCACGGGGAGAAAAGGAAATGCCAGTAGCCCCAAGCGATCCGGCCGGACTGTTGGGGACAGTTGCAGTTGAGGCTTTGGATTTCCCTGAGCCCCTTCGCCTGGGAGGCGGATACCTCTCCCCTTTGGCTTCTGCAGCTGCTTTCTTCCGTTCCTCTTCTGCTCTTTTCCGTTCCGCTTCTGCTTTGGTTGGGCGCCCTCGTTTCTTTGGTGGCTCGTTCATGTTTGGAGATGTAATGGAAGCGCTGGTTCCTTGGTCATATGGCACAGTAGAGGGGCGTGGTGCAATTGGCCGTTCCATTCCGGGACATGGCCGTTTCCGCACGACTGCTGGTGCTATGGATTCAGGGTGCGGTGGCTGAGGTTGTGAAGCAGCAGGGATCATAGCTGAGCGCGGCAGAACAGGCTGCTGGACATGCTGCTGGCACATGTGACCGAATGCCAGCTGGCATGAGTTGAGCGACCTCCCTGGAGGCATTGAATTAGCAAACACAGATTCCGTCTATGTCTGGTCCTCGAGATCTTCTTTGTCTTTGTAGTATTCCCCTGTATGAAGCCATGACAGGGTAGATACGCAAACTGATGGGTAGGGAAGACGCAAAAAGAGTGCCAGGAAATCTGTACCTGGAGGAAGGGGAATGTACGACCAGGCCGGATTGATCTTAAGGTCACATATCAATTTGACTAGATATCTGGAAGGTATCCCGTCTTTCTTTAGTATCTCCGTGAGAAGGACTTTCTGGACATCGATTATTGTTCTTGGTCAGTCCACTGAAACGGTTCAATTCATCTTGCTGTACTTTGAGCATCGTTCATACCTTCTCCTCTTCGGACCATGGCCGTTCAGTAGGGTTCGACATATCCAAACCATGGAAGCAAATTTGCCTGAGCCTTCCTTTCAACAGAAGCAACCCGACAAACGAAATTCAGGGGTTCGAATAGACTGAGAGAAAAGGTGAGGGTTGATCAAAGTATAGAAAACAGGACCACCACCAGCAGATAAGCAAGTAACCCTAAGAGCAAATAGAGGAAGAAAGCAGATGACCGAAAATAGAAAGCGGCTACCGGTATCCTGGTAATGTAATAATTATTGGAAGGAAAAAAAGAAAGAAAGAAAGAAAACGGAAAAAGAAGGCCTCCCAAACGGAACGATGCGTCTGTACTGGCGCAGATAGAAATACAAACACGTAGTACCGAATTGCAACGAATGACTGTAGAATGGGAGTAAAATCAAAGTAACCGCCGTCCGGAAAGAAAGAGATTTTGAGAGGGACTGCACATCGGGCCAACAGGGAACATGGAGGAAGTCGAATCGTACTCAATCTCGCTCTAGATAGATAGTAGAGAGGAAGAAGAGTAGAAAGAAGGACTCAAAACCCATGCCCACAGAGGGGGTCGGGGATGGTGGTGGTTTCTATGTATGAGTCCTGCTCTTCATGAAGAGGGAGGGGGAGAAGGAAAGCGCAACACAAGAACAATTGCGATAATTGCAAAAGAAACGTCGAGATCGAGTGGGTGAAATATCCGGAAACCGACGGTTTCAGCGATTTAGATGATCGCTAAACCAAGACCAGCTTCATTCAAGAAAAGCAAAGAGGAAAAGGAAAAAAAAAAAAAAAAAAAAAAAAAAAAAAATTTTATAGTAACCGAACACACTCTCCAGGAGAATATTTGGCCACCGGGACTTCTCATTCGATATCGCGCAGGTCCGGCATGCAGATAAAAAAAGAGAGGAAAAAAGGGCGAGGGAAGGAGAAAAACTGTAGGGACTGGCTGGGCATTGGCTTGATCTGTCGAGCAGACTCTATACTCGCCATCGCACCGCACTCTGAACGGGAATCCGATTGCGGGCCCGGCAAGCTTGGGGCCGCAGAAGCCAAAAGACGATGGTTTCAGATGGTCCCAAGCGTCAAAGCTTCTGCCGCGAGGAAATGATCCTCAAACAACCTGTCTGTCAATGGCCGTAATCTTGATACAGGTCCGTAATGGGCCGTATTCCTTTTTTTTTTTATCCTCTCTTTTCTCTTTTCCTGATAGAGGCTTAAGAAAACAGAGATATCGCAGGCGACGCAACAGGAATCTCTTCCTCAGCCTCGGCCCCCATACACACGCACGCCACAGAGTACAGCATGGGTCATAAAATAGTACCGTATTGAACACCGTAAATACCCCGTTGCCTTTTTATTTTATTTTTTATTTTTTTCCTCCTGCATTGGCGCTGACTGAGGACCGGCGTGGGTGTGGTTTAATGTACATATATCATGGCCGCCAACCAGGCTCTGATAGGCGGAAAACAATGCAGGTTCAACGACTAAATCGAACAGTCCTGCGTGTATTGAGTGCTGAGGAGTCCGTAGAGGCCTCTGGCCCAGTCAAACTGCCCCACTGGCGGTAGTGGTGGTGGATAAGGAAAATAATCGGCCTTCCGAGAGGTCGTTCAGTCACCACCACAGCTGAAAGTCGCAGGTGATAATCGCCCGCGTTAACGGTCATCCTTTCATGGAGAGTAAGTAATTCGAGCATATTTGCGTTTTCAGATAGAGTATCTGCATGATCAACCCAGCGCTGGTTCTGATCGCTCAACCGGCGATACTCGAAAGCGCGTCGACTTGCCAAGTGCGAACGAGAGGATCTCGCGTCGGACGATGCCCGGTGTCACGTGTGACCACCCCGGCTAAACCATATCTACAAATGCCTTTTTAGGACAAAGCGGCATTTGATCTTGCATTCATAAAAACGAAGCTAGCATTTGATTTGTGTGTTGCTAGCTATAAGTTTGAGAGCAATGGCAATCCAGTTGTATCCTGACCCGTTACGCAGGAACTAGCCCCATCGCCTGTATTGAAACACAAAGCTCATCCACAGAGAAATATAGGAGATCACCACCACTGCGGGCCTGGGAACAAGGCCGACCCAAAGAGCTGACACCGTGTGATTGGTATCCGTTGCGGTGTTCCTAATGGAACCGGGAAGATAGCCTATAGTAGAAAAGATATATAGTTAATCTCCCATCTAACCAACCAGAAAGTGCAATTGAAACGTACCTCTGTCTGCAATAGCATTTGCCGTCCAGAGAGTCACGGCAAAAGACTTTGATCTCACCTACCACTCGGTTGTTCTCCTGCTTGGTCCAATCCAGAATTATGACTAGCTGGATGGTTGGTGAGCCACCGACCAACCACAGCTGCAAATCCTCGTACAAATGGGCTCAGCTGCCGCTCCATCCCGTCTCTAATACTACTTGTGGCTGGTCTTAGTAGCCAGATCGAATGCTTAAGTCGGCTCTTTAGAAGATAGAGCGTACGGAGGCTGAAAGTATTGAACGGCTAGTGGTGTTGCAAATCAGCATTAACATATGTCAGCACAGAGGGATAATAGATACGATAAACTGGTAAAAACAAAAGATTTGGGATTCACGAGCTCCGGTACCGGCAAACAGCCAGACAAATACCAGGATATCTTGTCATTCTGGGTCCACAGTTGGAGGCTTTCATGGATTTCTGTAGCCTTGACACGGATCCAGAAATGCCGTGATTTAGAATTATAGTTTATCCTGTCAAGGGAGTCAGAAGAGCACAAGATTGGAGTCCTAAAATACAGGGTACTTGTTCACATGGACGTGTTGACCAGAAAGTGACCATTAGCCCTTTTTGTGATAGCAGTCCCAGTCTCACGTACCTGGGAGAAGCTCGTCCAATGCGTCTAACCTCGCCCAATGACCGCACGAGAGAAGGGCCTGTCTCAGGATCAGGATCCTCGTAAACAAAGTCCTGAGATTCAGTGGCATGACAAATGGGGTTTAGCCACATAAGCGAAGAACTAGGGTCCTCCATTTGGCCGCCAGAAATTGAAATTCCCCGGTCAAATTAGAAAGGAATCGTTGGTCTCTGAGGTCGCAGCATTAAGCATTGTACAGCGTCCTGAGGCAGAGTATCCCCAAATCTTTGCAGGATTTAGCTCTACTTTAGCTACTGGCGTAGTATCTAGGTTTACCAAAAGTAGAAATGGACCAGTGACCATTGAATAGATGACATATTTGTCTTTAGGGTTAAACAATTATACAGAGTGGAAGAGTAAGCATTAAACTGAACCATGGACAAGTTTGCTGTGCAGTGGAAGATGGAGAGCTTGAGCACCAAGTAAATGGGAAGTTCTTCGACCCTTGTTGAATCTGATACGCTCCGTACGATGCTACTGTACGGAGTAGTAGCGCAGACGATCCCCTCAGGTGGCCTCTCTAATTTTTTATTAAAAAAATTTTTTTTTTCTTCCGCGGTGCTTCTGTACTCCGTGGGAAGCGGGATTAATCATGTATTTCGTATTCCGTACTTTTCTGTACGAGTGCTAGTATCAAATTCAAAGACTAACATCATTGGCCCCATTGATAATAGTGGAACGAGATTCCGCAATGACTGGCTGACAGCATTCGTCCTAAGGAAACGTACCCGACGGGACAGTCAAACTGTCAATGATAATCGTCAGCAAGCACGGTTAGTGGAGTTGAAACCGTCGAACAGACCCACCGCAGACCGGCGACAAGCGGACAAACGACGTGTGTGATCACGATCGTCCAGGAGGCTGGGGCAAAAAGTATTCTTGTGCAGAGTAGTACCTCGTATTTTTTGCATTTCCGGAGATGAGCGCGGCGTAACTTGTAGGCCTCACAAGGACTGGACCTCAAGGCACGTAGAAGATGATAAATCCCATGCAGAGAGTCAACCAAAACCAATTTTGAGACCTCTATCATTGGTCCTTGGTGACATCCCACCCTTGTCAAAAGGGCGTACTCGGTAATATTGAGGGGCGTACCAGGATCATAAATAAGCCCGTGAATGAACAGTTGGTCCGAGAGATGCCATTTCAGTATTTGTGACAGCCAGTCGATTTCACCAGAAGGACCCAAGATGGCAAAAGTAGTACGGCTCTGTAGGCTAACCACTGCAGCTCCAAATCCTTTAGTAGCCTAGAAAATTCAATTCCGCAGAGAATTTGACTTGACGGATCGATTGTATAGTAGATAGGTATACGGATTAATCCTCGCTTGCATTGAATTTGATCGATAGTAATCGCGATTGGAGCGCTTCTCTGCCGGCTTGTGGTAGCATCACGCGAAATTCAGATCAGAAGTAAGACCCCACTCCTGTCCATATCTGTCTGTCTTTGCCTTTTTGTCCTTCCGTCTCTGTGGGTGAGTGTGGCTGTAGGTGGGTGTTATTATTTTCTTGGATGTGCAAAGTAGAAGAACGATCAGCTGATCCCGCGACGTTGATTGGTCCACGATGAATAATTCCGTTACGCAGTGGGAACGATACCGGTACAGTAAAAGTACCTGCTGCCGCACCAGTATCGGAGACTTTGTGGCCAGTGCTAACCGGGGTGGATTCCCCACAGCCATGGTACCTGAGCGGAGGTACCCGTAGGTACCGAGAATATATTACCAACGGTATTTCACGTCCGGTACAGTATCTTACGGTGTTGTTATTACCGGGACTTCTCTCATATCCTCTCTCAATGATACTAGCCACCACTACCACCACCACCACCATTTTTTTGCTGCCTCTTTTCTTTTTCCAAACCAGACTCGCAGCAATGGGATCGTTTAAATCGATAAACTGAATCGCCTTCACTGCAACTAAAGATGCAACTTTCCTACTTGAGTAACTATGTGCTAGCTTTGTCGACTGGCGCACAGATGGCGCTGTCGAAGAAAGGAAAAACATCCTGGCTTTCGCTGAAACCCGCATCCTCGCTGCGCTAGCTGCATTCATCTCAGATTAATATGACTATCCTTTCGAAGAAATTCCTTTTTAGTCTCGTTCTTTGTCTCTATGACAGCTGGTACGCTGTACGAGTACAGTTACATCGTGGGAGATGCGTCATCTAACCGCCTTCTTTCTCAATATCTGCGACTCCTCCGGATTACCACGGAACAACACACGTTTATTCTATAATCAATTCTTCAAATGCAGGATCTTTTCTTTTCATGTTTGCATCCGGCCCAGCAGCAGTTCGAAAATGAGGTCGTCTCATCCAATCGCTAACCGCCCCGAGTGGTCTTTTCGAGCATTGACCTAAAAAAAAAAAAAAAAAAAAAAAAAGGAAAAAAACCGGAATTTCTGATATGCTCAGTCGATTATAATCTTACTCTCTTTCAACTTTCAATGCCGTGCTGATCTTACCGGGTGTCCGATATCTGGTTAGATCCATCCCACCACGGGATTCATCTTTGTGTGCTTTTATGGCCTATCATAAGCTGGATTCGGGATGATCTGATATGCAACGGTTGACTATTCAGCCAGCCAATGCGCATCTGTTATTATTTACTCATCACTTTCCCCCATACTCTCCGATACACTCCCTTTCTGGTGAGTACTTTGCGGAGTATGGCCATGAACGTGGGGATGGTTGAGAGAGTCTGATAAAACCAAAATCTGGCTTCTCCCTGGTCTCTGGTCTTCTAGCTGGAATGAAAATGACTAATACGACTGATACTCGTCACTATGCTTCAAAAGCCTGACTCTTTTTTCGCAACCCTCTGGTAATCAGAAAGAAACCCATGAAGACTAAACTCATTCTTCTCGCAGGGTAACATAAATCTCGACTTGAGCTGACCGCATTGGTTATTCGAAAGACATCACTGGTTCTGGATACTGGGTCGCATTTATCCTCTATCTAATCGGGGTTCCAGTACGAAGTCACCACTAGAGATGAGAATGGACACAAGACTACATACAGAGTACATCTGACTGGAGTCACGTAAGAAGGATGGGTGCAAAAGTCAGTGTGTACAGAGTACCGGTGGTGTTTCCCCCCGGGGACTCGGGATTTTCTTGGAGACTTGATCAAATCCGACCGATATCTACAGGGTCCTGCTGCTGCTGCTGCACAGCTTCTACTCTCTCTTTCTATTCTGTACTCTGTACACCATCTGGCGTCGTGGGTGGTGACAGTGTCTGCCAACCTTCCTGTTGACTCCCTCCCACACTCCCACTCGCCCTGGGTGGGCGGTGAGGGGAAACTGTTGGGGTCAATCCGTCCCTGCGAACGGATCCAGAAATGCTGTGTTTGTGTACGATGTCACTGTCTGGTCAGCCCCGACCGGTCAATTCCCAGACCAGGGGGAGAGGGGACATATATATTCTGTATTCGCTCTGCTTCTCGGTTCTATTGTGCTTTCTGACTTGCAGTCCAGCTAGAGAAAAGTATTTAATGCAGAAATTGACATACTACTGTGCCATAATAATCCCTTCTCTTCTTTCCTGATCTGTCTTGGCGCCCGCCGGAAAAAAAAAAAGTGAGACTGGACTGTCTCGACTGCTCCATCTTCCTTCCTCTTTCCTCTCCCTCAACTACTCTCTCTATTCTTTCTTTTCCTCTCTCTAACCACCATCATCTCTTCTTTTGCTCTCCTTTGCTCCCATTCCGTTCTTTTGATCCCCCCTATTTAGTGTCCTCCGCTCAGCTCCGTTTGTTATCGATCTCCACTCCTTCCCACTGCGGTTCCGCGCGTCGTCCTCTTTATCCCAGTTCTCCTCGACTGCGCGTTTCGTCCGTGGCGTCATGTCCTCCCATGACAACGCGGACAGCCAGTCTGAAACCGTAGCGAATGCCGTGACCGCCATGAAGTTAGAACACAATGATGGTGGTGCTACGTCGCCCGTCGTCAACGGCAGCGGCGCAGTCAAAAACGAGGAAGAGGAGGAGAAATTGCTTGCCAACGGATCCGCCCCCGAAGTCAAATCTCGAAGTCAGTTACAATCGCCCGTCAAGAAGGAAGAAGGAGAAGGACGTGAAGACAAAGATGCAGATGAGGAGGAAAAGGTTGGGGGTGACATTACGGTCCGGCTCGAGCCTGGTGAGCCGCCCAAGCTGGCACGCAGCTCCTCGCAAAAGGTTGTGCCACGGCCTCCTCAGCTATTCTCGGATCTGCCGGATAGTACGGGGGAGGCCAGGTCGACCTTTGAGGTGATGAAGACGTGCACGTACGCCAACAAATATATGGGTTATACGGAACATGCTATGGAGTGTGACTGTGTGGAAGAATGGGGTAAGCTCTTTTCCTGTTCCTTTGTGCCCGGCTCTCAGAATTTGGAGAACAACCGCATTTATGGGTGTCTCGGATTCTCTACATTATTTTTTATCATCTCAAATCATTTTCATGGCGCACCCATTTCGTATTCTAACAATGCCTTTCAGACTCGACAGTTGGCAAAAACAACGCATGTGGTGAAGACTCGGATTGTATCAACCGCGCGACCAAGATTGAATGTGTAAATGATTGCAGCTGTGGCCCCGAATGCCAAAATCAACGATTCCAGCGAAGAGAATATGCGAATGTGGCCGTCATCAAAACCGACAAGAAGGGGTTTGGCCTCCGTGCTGAGTCCGACCTGCGACCGCACCAGTTTATTTTCGAGTACATCGGAGAGGTGATCAACGAGGGGAATTTCCGGCGGCGCATGCGACAGTACGATGAGGAGGGGATCAAGCATTTCTATTTCATGTCCCTCAATAAGGGCGAATTTGTTGATGCGACAAAGAAGGGTAATTTGGGCCGGTTTTGCAATCATTCGTGCAATCCCAACTGCTATGTCGATAAGTGGGTCGTGGGAGAAAAGCTTCGAATGGGCATTTTCGCGGAACGTTTTATTCAGGCTGGAGAGGAACTCGTTTTCAACTATAACGTTGACCGTTACGGAGCCGACCCTCAACCCTGTTACTGCGGAGAACCGAATTGTACGGGCTTCATCGGAGGACGGACACAAACCGAACGTGCGACGAAGCTGTCCAATGCAACTATCGAGGCTCTGGGTATTGACGATGCGGATGGCTGGGACACCGCCGTCGCCAAGCGGCCGCGTAAGAAGAAAATGGGCGAAGCTGATGAGGAGTATGTGGACAGCGTGCAACCGAAATCTCTGGAGGAGAATGGGGTGACGAAGGTAATGGCTGCATTGATGCAGTGCCAGGAGAAATGGATTGCAGTCAAATTGCTAGGACGGATTCAACGGTGTGAAGATGAGCGGGTTCGCAATCGTGTTGTGAAGATGCATGGTTACCAAATCTTGAACTCGCAGCTCGCTATGTGGAAGGATGACCACAATGTGGCCCTGCAGATCATGGATATCTTGGACAAGTTCCCTCGTCTTACACGAAACAAGATCATTGACTCCAAGATTGAGTCTACTATCCAACCGTTGACGACCTGTGGGGATGGAAGGGTGGAAAAGAATGCGGCCGCACTTTTGCAGGCATGGTCGACGCTAGAAGTGGGCTATCGTATTCCTCGTATGAAACGGGATCCCAACAGCTCGTCGCAAGCACTGAACCAATTTGGACGACGAGAAACTACCCGTGATGAGCGACGACGATCAAGATCACGTTCCCGGTCCAGGTCGCGGTCCCTGGATGCACCTCGTGGTCCGCGCGGTGATCGTGGTCCGAGAAACCACCAGCGTCCGCGGCAATTTCGCCGTCAACCCAACCCCCTGCCTCCTGGGTGGTTTACGGCCGAATCCAATGGCCGGACATACTACTACTCTGCCCGTGGAGACACAACATGGACACGGCCAACCACACCTGCTCCCCAGCCTCCTCCGCCTCCAAAGGAATCGAAAGACAAGGCATTACAGGATATCATTGATGGTATCATGAATGCCAAAGAAAACACCCCCAAGGAGAAGACTACCACACCTGGTACGCCACAGGCATCGAAACTCATGCCCGAGGGGAAAGAAGGATCATCAAAGTGGAAGGGCTACAGTGAGGAGAAGCAGAAAAAGCTCTACGAGAATACGGTAAGTTGTTACTTTCATCGGGAAAAATATTGCTAGACTAATTCGTCCCTAGTTGTTTCCCCATATCAAGTATGTTGTCGATAAGTTCAAACACAAGCTTCCAAGGGATGATTTGAAGCGGCATGCAAAGGACGTGAGTGTTGAATACCTGGAATATTGACTGGTTCATTTGTATACTGACAAGTTTTTGACAGGTCGCGAAGAAACTTGTGAACTCGGATTTCAAGAACAACCGGGTCGAAGACCCAACAGCGATTAGTGACAAACAACAGAAGAAAGTCAGGAATTACTGCAAGGAGTATTTTGAGAAGGCAGTTGTTAAGCATCGAGAACACGAGAAGAAGGCCGGTAAAGGCACCAAGGAAGCCGGTCACACAGCAAACGGCGAAAGCGATGAAGGTGTCGACGTAAAGATGTCCGACGACGAAGGTGGCAAAGATACCCCCGGAGATGGCGAAGAGACCGAGACACCAGGGTCATCGTTGAAGCGAAAGCGAGACGACGACCCCGAGAAGGAGGATGGGAAACGGAGCCCTTCACCCTCGAAACGACAGCGTTCCTCTACACCACCGCCGCCACCACCTCCTCCGCCGATGAGCCCTGGACAAGCAGAGTCCACGCCAACGGACAAGCAGGCAATACAAGCTACTCCTACTCCGCCGCCACCTCCACCGATTCCAGCAGAGCAGAGTTGATATTGGAGTTTGAAAGTTTGAAACACCTCATATTTTGTTAATCTTGTCGCATTGATGTTTCGATTTTGTGTTGGTACATTGCTCAAATACCCCTGGGTTGCGCATTTGCATTTACATGGTTTGTTATTCCATGTCTGGGATGGATTCATATTGTATAACTAGCCGGTGTCTAGAAGGTACGGAGTCTTACTACGATATCTATAATTTATATTATACTACTATTATTACTTATGGTTCCAAATCTCATGTCCAGACGTGATGCTCATTGCTCTATCTACTTCATGAATGGTAGACAAGACATCAATGCATTAATGATATTCCCCGTTAAAAGACAGAATGCATGAACAAAAAAAGAGGTGAAGGATCTAATAGAAACTCTCCACGATACTCTCCTTATTCGCCTCACCCATACCCACACCACGAGGACCCATCTCACCCAACCGGAACACACTCTCAACAACACTCAGCTCCGTCGCAGTAGTATCAAGACCAGTCACAGCCAACCAGTCGTTAACGACCATCCCAGCACCAACAACGGGGCTACCACGGTTCACACTACCAGCGACAAGGGGCACCTGCAGCAAGGAAGAAAGTTCGTCCTGGTCACGGATGGAGGTCTTGGGGTGGACGATACCGCCCTGGTTGGAGAGGGCCATGTAGGAGCCTGTCAGGACGTTGTCGGCGATGGTCTGGCGGAAGACTTCGACGCCAAGAACGTCGGCGATTCTACTCAATTAGCATCCATCCCCTTCATAGCACAATACAGAGAGTGGAGAGGTAGGGGGGGTATATACATTTCCTCGGTCTCACGCTCGATATCCGGATGCACAAGGGCGACATGGTCATTGCAGCAAATGACATTCCCCAATGCCGAGAGACGCTCTTCTATCCGTTGGATCTTGACGTGGTCGGGAAGGGTATTCCGCAGATGCTGCAGTTCTTGGTCTGTGGTTGTTGTGGGGACGAGGAGGCCATTGCGGTTTCTATTCGTTTATTAACATCTTTTTCTTATGCTCGTGTTTTTAACGGGGAAAGGCGTACCCAGCTGTTAGACGGCCGATAATCCGGGTACCGGCGATCGTAGCGTGACAGATGGGGATGACGTCCTGGAGTTCGGCTTCGAAGACACTGTTTTCGTTAGCCCCGTTCACATATTCCCCTCTAGAAGAGAGTGTGAATACCTGTAAAAATTCTCTGAAGCACCAACAGCGACAAGCGCGTACGAGTTGGTAAGTCTAGAGAAGACACCGACCCTACCAATTATCAGCACAATCCTCCCTGTAAACACGACTTCTTTATATGGTAACCCACTCGTTTGAATTCTCGAATTGTGCGCGGACAGACATGATTTCAATCTGTTCGTTTTTTCGTTCGAATTGGACTGGATCAATCGGGGTATAGAAGGAAGGAAGCTCTTGCTCGTTCGTGCAAGGCGGGGTTGGTCAACCGGTTCTTGTGTGTGCGCTGTCGCTCGAGGGTGTAATATACTGCGACAGTGAGAGTAACAGAGGATCTCTATGTTCAATATAAAAGATCCAATTCAAGCGATAGATGAGCTGAAGAGTTCAAATATGGACCGTAAAAAAAGAACAGGACTGAAATCATTTTTGCCCCACCGAGGGAGACTAAACCCGATCAGGAAGACAAGTCAGATGAGTCATTCGGAGTCATTGATGGAGACAAACAATTGAGTCACTACGACTATGGAGTCCTCTGTACTGGTATTTGCAATCCATTAAAGAGTAATGTACACAGGCTGACAATGCGAGCACAACAATAACAACAATCATACAGGACCGTTCCGGCTCCAGAAAAGAAAAAGAAAACAAAAGAAGGGTAGCCAATCACTAGACATGGGCTCGATATGCACACAAAACAAAAAAGAAAGTGCCAAAGAACGCCTAGCCAAGTCCCAGTAATACAAATGTAGTAGATCGGAAATATCAACTGGAAAGAGAGAATAGCAAAAGGTCCACCCCGGACGGATCGTGGTACTCGTGATTTTGAAAGAGAACGGAATGGATGAAGTCAATTGGAACAAGGAGGCTGATGGGACGAGGTATCCGATTTCAAATCCTGTTCCGTCCGTTGTTAGCACCACGCCATGACTTGTAGCATGTCAGGCTTACCCTCGACCCTAAGCGCACTGTTTAAGCGCAAGTCCCCTAATATGGAGGATGAGGTCCCGATGGGTGATGCGGAGGCGGGAAATAAAGCGGACTACTCTGCAGAAAGCCCGGGGGTGGGGGTCGTTGAAAGTTAGACCCTGGAGGAGGCGGAAGCTGAGGAGGCCCGCCGCCAGGAACAAAAGGGTCCGGAAGACCCAATTGTTCATTGATCGACGGAATCTGCTGACCAGCTGGCAAGAGGGGACGGGGTTGTTGCCGCGCCGGCCCCGGTTGCGGCGGTGGGGGATGGCGTCCCGGTCGTGGTAGCATGTAGGGCCGTGGATCCGCCATTGGTTGTGGGAGGAGCGTACGAAGCATGGATGGCCGCGGGGTCCTAATTGGGGCCTCGCTAGAAGCCACATCGGCGAGTGCGGACAAAGCCACAGCCGGCATCTCGGGCGCGGTTTGAGCAGGAGCAGAGATTTCAGGTGTGGGTTGGTTGGCGACAGCATTAGTCGCCTCCAGCAACATCTCCAATGTTCCATATGCTGGTTGATTAGTAGCTCCCGGTCCATGGGTCTCCCGCATCTCCTTCATCTGTGGGTCGATATCTTCGCCTAGTCTTACGCGTTGAATGAACTGCTCCCATCCCGTGTCGGCTCGTTCGTAAGCTGCCGCTCCAGCAGGTTCTCTCACGTGGTTTGAATTGAAACCCCGTATGAACTCCCTGGCGGGGGGAGCGACTGGCCTCTTGTACTGCTCTGTTTCTGAACCATCCGTCTAGAGGCGCCATTAGCATGTCATAACACCTTAACAGACTATACAAGAGGCCTACCTCCGTGTGTTCGTCATCTTCTGCAGCACGACGGCCCTCCACAAAAGCCATGTAATCACCTTGCGCGGCAAGAAAATGCTCCTCCTGAATATTGCGGGCAGATGCCTATCATCGTTAGTCCTCGTAAATATCACACATAGCATTGCCCAGCTTACGCGAAACTTTTGCTCAAGGCGATCTTGTTCAGAGGCGAACAAGATATTCTCCTGCTCGACTCGGAATTCATATTCGTGACGCAAAATGTCTTGCCTTTTCTGGCGGTATGCTGTCAGAATCGCTTCGAGCTTTTCAAACTCGGGCACCTTCTGATGAGCATTCTTGTCGCGAGCCAGTTGATTTTCTGTTCGAACGGCCATCACATGCAAAGCCAATCTCTGTGCGGCTGCCACTTTCTTGAACGCGCGGTCCAGCTCCAACTTGCGGTCCAGTAACTTCCGCGCGGCGGCAAAGGGGGATGGAGAGCGTTCAGGCCTTAACTCCGGACTTTCCATTTGTCGGTCACGTCCTGCGGCTGCTGCGGCTGCAGCACGGCGAGCAGCTGGCCCCTTGCCCTTTGGACGACCTTTGCCCTTGGCCCGACCCCTAGCAATGCGCGCTGCTTGGCGCCCTTTGACGGTTGTTGGTCTGGCAGTGGACCTCACTCCATTTGAAATGACAGATTCCTCAACATCGGTAATCTGACGCGATTCGTCGTCCACTCTAGATTCCTCCGTAGCGTTCGCGGGAGACGGTGAATCATGTTTCTCTGCCGTGCCATTTTGTAGTTGCTGTTCCAATGCGCGGTCTAGATCAGCTTCTTCAAGCTTAGGCTTCTTGTCTGAAGCTGTTGGAGACACATCTGCTAATCCATTTACAGCATTGACTTCCGCTTCTGGGGAATTGTGCTCCTTTTGAGATGGGCTGGGCGACGACGGTGGTATCTCTTGCTGCGCATTAGTCGATGCGCCATCGTTGTTTAGACTGGCGTCGGGTGTTTCTTCGGCGGAATTCCATTCGGTTTTTGGGTCCTCCGGAGCATCTGTGTCTCCAATCTTGGATTCTTTGGAGATGTCCGCCTCGTCAGGGGACGGAGATTTTGTGATAGCTGCAGTAGCAGCATCGTCTTTATCTTCAGCCTTGGTTCTGCTACTCGAAGTCTTCGTTGGACTAGGCTCTAAAGGCTTTCCTTCCACAGCTTCATCAAAAGAGGCATGTGGGTTGGGGCCCAGGGCCCTGATTCTGGCGGACTGCCTCGTGGTTCGAGGGGTTTCCTCAGCCACCGAGCCACGCTTCATGCGCTTCATCCGGGGAGTTTCAGGGACCTGGGAAGGACCAGAAGCAACTGGTTCCGGCTGCTGCGAAGATGAGAGAGCTGTGGCTCGTCCTCGAGAAGTACGAGTCTCGCGTGCATTAATTGGATTAGCATTGGCATTATTTGTCAGCGCACCACGAGTGTTTAGTTTGACGATGCGTGACCGACGAGCGGGAGTGTTGCTGTTATTGCTATTACTGGTTGAAGAGGTAGTAGTGCTGTTGTTATGGTTCCTGTCATTGCCACGCGGATCGCGATTTGCCTGCGAAGCCGCGCTTCTTCTGGTGACGCGAACATTTTGAGCATCTACTGAAGATTAGCATTGTATACATGTATTGACGAAAGAGAAATAAAAATTGGAAAGGGAATGTTACTGTTTGCGGATTGTGAAGCCCCTTCGGAAGCAGCTGGAGCATGAGCGGTGTCAAGCTTCCGCTTGGCACCTGCCATTGCGATGCTGAGAATAAGGATTAGCCGGTGTTCGCGGAGGTTATTTATGAGGATAATTAAGAAAGAAAGATAGAGAAAGAAAAGACAAAAACACGAGATGAGAGAGAGGAAGTAATCAACGGGAATAGAGAGTGAACAGAAGTCACGAGACCGGGGTGAAAGAAGATGTAGTAAAAGCCAGTGTAGTATACACACGGCAGGCCGGACTTGGTAAGAGGAGATGACAAACACAATGACACAAATCAATGCAATATAGGGAGTTGGCGAGGTTTATAGACACGCAGTAAGAAATAATCAGAAAAGAGCCAGGAAGAACGCATTGAGGGGATTGAGAAGTTAACAGAGGGAGACATACAGAGAGTAATGAAAACGGAAAACAGGGAGAAAAGAGAAGAAAAAGCAATGGAGAAGAGACTCAATCATACAAAATAGATTCAAGCGAACGATAGCAAAGGGGAGAAGAGAAGGGAATGAAGAGAAAAGGTTGGGATGCTATGCGACGAAAAGATGTACAGCGCCGAGTAGAGAATAGAAACGCGCGTGCAAAAGGGGGATGAGCAGCAAATACAATGGAAATAGAGAAAGAGAGAAGAGTACAAGAAAGTATACTATAAAATAAAAGCAAGGAACTCACCTAGGATTGTATAGGGACGCTTTTAAAAGAGACAATGAATGAAGGCGAAGTACAGTAGAAGTCCGCGAAATAAGAAAAGACTCGAGCCAAGTAAAAAACGAGGTTCGGCCAAGTGGATCAGCCGCCGTCAGTAACGCCGCAGTAGAAAAGAGTATAATATGTGAAATAGAAAGAGGGATATAAAAGAAGCAAGAAATAAAAATGTAAAGAAGAGGAGTAAAAATAAAAAACAGAGTAGGGAAATGAAGGTTAGCGTCAATGTGGTGGAGTCGTGTCGTTCATCCGGAACAGTAGTAGTAACAGTAGTTGAGCAATGTTTGCATGGACAACATCGCATCACAGATCTGTCTAATTTTTTGCGTGTTAAAATATTATTATAATTTGTACACTCGAGTATTCTCTCAACTCAATCATCCATACTATTCTGAGGCAATCCAGCTTTTTTCATTGGACATCTGACTACCAGGTTCTAGTATACCCCTGTACAAATGTGCATATGCGCCAGCCACCAAACAAAGAATGGGCATCAATACTCGAGAATAATAATCTTGGTTAGTCAGTAGTATCTCCATCTTTCATCGCAGCATATTCCCTTAACCTATCCTCCTCCCCCCCCCCCTATCGTCCAACCGCCACTATGAGAATGGAATATGATGATGTCGCTTGGGAACAAAGCGACAAAGTATTCAATCATTTTAAGAGGAAGGAGGTTACCAAGCCCCATGTGCTTCTAGCAGTCACAAATTTCATGGCACGCTACCGACCCGAGAGTCGACCCGTTGACCATGCTCGGATAGAAGGTGTGGGAGCGTTCAACCTGTGTTTCTGGATGATCTTTGAAGATGGATTCTCTTCTCTCCTACGCTTTCCTGGTCCTGGTAGGGTGATGTTTCCCGAGGAAAAGGTGCGAAATGAGGTTGCGGTTATAACCTTCCTGAAACAAAACACGAAGATCCCTGTGCCCACCGTTATTCACTATGGCATGGGCGATGAGAGTCCTGCGGGACTAGGTCCGTTTATTCTTATGGAGTATGTGGAGCATGCGTGCCATCTGACAGCCCAACTAAGAGCCCCTGGATATTAACGGGGCGAACTCCCATTCCTGAATCTGGATATTGAAGAGGAGAAACTCGAGTTTTTCTACGGTCAGGTAGCTGATATTCTACTGAAGCTCTCCAAGCCATCTTTTGAGAAGATAGGCTCGCTAGCCAGAGATACAAATGGCGACTGGAGTATCAATCACCGGCCATGAACCATGAACATGAACGAGCTCGTTCAGCTGGGGAACTTCCCTCCCAAATTGCTCCCACAATTGACCTTCGCCACTGCTTCATCGTACTATCAAAGTTTGGCCAGGACAGAGTGCATTCATTTGGCAACCCAACGGAATGACGCTTTTGATTCAGAAAGAGGACTGTCGCTCCAAGTACGTTGCCAGAATGTTATTCTACAAACTGGCAGAAGAGTCCTGTCTTCAAAATCCTACTACGTTTGACTCTGGCCCATTCAAGCTTTTTTGCGATGACCTCCGCCCTACCAACATTCTCCTCGATGATAACATGAAAATAGCCGCAGTGATTGACTGGGAATTCACATACGCCGCCCCTGTAGAATTCACCTATAGCCCACCCTGGTGACTACTATTGGACATACCCGAAGAGTGGCCACGCGAAATATCAGATTGGATAAAAACCTATCAGCCACGTCTCGATACCTTTCTTCGGGTGCTCAAGTGCCAGGAAGATATTGCTATCGCTGCCGGTAACTTGATGGAGGAGCAGCGGCTTTCTGGAAAACTGCGGGAAAGTTGGGATTGCGATAATTTCTGTGTCAACTATGGCGTGCGCAAGAGCTGGGCCTTTGATTCTGTGTGGCCAATGATGGATGCAAAGTTCTTTGGTGGTGATACAGCCCTAGACCAACGCGACTCACTGCTCTATAGTGAGGAGAAAATGGGGTTACTTGATAACGCGGACAGGGAGGCAATGGAGCCTTTTATTTGGAAGAAGTTGGAAGATAGCAAGGAGCGGGTTCTAGATGGTTGGGATGCGTAGTGATTACTTGACCGATTGTGTTGTTTAGCTACTGGCAAAGCAGCAACAGCTCTATGAACTAAACTATATAGATGCCCTTATTCATTTCAATAAGTTCTATTTGATTTACATAAATATTCACTTGAGCTTACTACAAGCATCAAATGATGTATGATGATTAGTTATGGATATTTTTGTATTACTTCCTATACCAGAGTCGCTATATATTCAGTGAATAAAATCATGCCCATTATCCAACTCCTTGCTCAAAAGACGAAACACATAGGAAAGCAAATAAGCAACAAAGGAAATTAAATCAACCCTCAAGAGGCGATTCGTTCAGATCATATTTCTTCTCATACTGCAACATACTCTTCCGCAGATCTCCCGCCATGATAATCCCCGGCATGGGTTTTGATTTTGATGAGGAAAGGGATGGTGGACAGGAAGAAGACAACTCGCCCTCCTCAGCCGTGCTCATCCTCTCCAATAACAATGGTGAGCGAGAACGCCCGTTATTGCTTACCCGCAGCGAGTTGGATGATCGTACGCGGCTCAGTGTCCTTGCAGAGATGGTCGTCCCGGCCACAGGTGATGCTTTGACCATCGTCCCTGGCATTGGTGTCGGGGGTGGTGATGGGCTATCGGAGCGGAAGAGTGGATGAATGTTCTTCTCGTTGGGAGGGAGAATAAGTTTTGGGAGATATGGTCTCATGCTGGTTGTCGCGATAGACTCTAGGTTGGCCGAGGGCTCTGTGGGTGAGGGTGGAGATGGGAGGATCAAGAGACTATCCATGGACTTCACATCTGAGTCAGTCCGTTCTGGTGCTGGATTGGAAGTAGAGGCAGTAGTAGTGGTGGTGGATTGATGTTCTTGGTCAGCCACGCTACAGGTGTCACGACCCTCAGAAACATCAGGCTTGGAAGGCGACGACATAACTCCTGCATGCAGATCGATCGAGTCGTGCTTTGAGTCCTGCTGGAAGAGTGTCTTGCCTGAATACCGACTAGATACGCGCGTGGCCACGTTCGACACGTGTGGCCGCACAGGCGCCAGTCCATCAGTGCTCGTCTTAGGATTGAGGGACAGAGACGGTCGGTTGAATTCAACTGTAATCGAGGGCGATGGTGAGTCCGAGCGCTCTTGTATTCTTTCATCCGAATGAAGTTCATCTAGCCTCTCGAGCTCATGGGACAGCGGACGCGGCCAACTGTGGGTATTCTCCTCATCTTGTTGCCTTGCCCTGGGTACTAGAAGAAATCCGCAAAAGAGAGCTTGCGCAATGACTGAAAAGGCCCAAAAGATATTGCGAGTAATGAACTGTGCCTGGGCCGGCGCCGTCGTCAAGCTCTTTGCGATTATTCCGGCTGTGGTACCTGCCGCAAGGAGGAGGTAGGCAACAACTAGGATGTGAACAGTGTGTTGCCAGGTTCCCCACGGCCCAGCTTTTGTTTTGGTTTGGGGATGTCGTGTTTGGAGCACGAGCAGTAGGGCCAGCACAACGCAGCCAACTGCGCTGAGACCGAGAACGGCCGACTCAAGAGAGGAACTAGACCAGGCGTAGCATATGCTGTCAAGGATGGTAGTGATAACTGTAAGGGAAATGGCAGTGCCTCCTAAGGAGTAGGCCACGGTGGTATGCATATTGGTAGGATAATTTGGATATGGTTTGTTTTTCTAACGGTTTATCGTATGGGTATGTGTATAATGGGTATCCAAAAAGGCAAAACAAGAAGCCAAACCGATAAAAACGCTTAAGTAAAAAGTCATAAAGGCTGAGGGCATGTACAAACAAGAGTCATAACCGTAACGATTGATGTAAAGAGGGGTGAATGTGTAGTAGGACCGGAATTGCAACGGAAACTGCCAACAATTAATACTTCGCATGGTTTCCAATTTTGCCTGAATAAAATACATCTACCTGAAAAGAGTGGACTCAGTGGAAACGGGGAAAGGGTTCCGCGACACCATCCATGTGAGATGCATGAGATCGTTGGATGATAGATGGCAATCGTCCCGGACCGATCAGGGCAGCGTCCGGGATCATCATCCGGATCTTGATCCATCCTTCCATTACACTGGTCAGAGTTTATAGCAATTGCTGTCGTGTGGACAAGACAGCCTGTATAACGATTAGGACTGAATGCTGTGCGACTTCAATTGTGCTTCACTTCCAATCATAATCCCGCACAATGGCCGTATCCATTTCCACTTGGGCTGCCTCGAGGCATCGCGACTCATGTGAATCTCAGATTGATGAGAGCCCAAGGGCCAGGGGGCGCTGGTATCATCCCCCAGTTCCATAAGCTCCGATCAGAACCAGGCAGTACTTGCATGGAACACATCACGAACACGGCAATTTGTCAAGTTTTCAATCCTATTTATCTTCTGTATGATCTTCGGAATCCGATAAATCGATCCAGCACTAGTGAATCAGGACAGAAGTACCTTATCTGTTCCATGGCAGTGGTTTAGCTGGTAGGATGAGTCCAGTGGCCGATGTGATGCATCATAGGGGAATTGGCGATAGAAGTGAAGAATCCGGAGAGGACCGATAGACCGGAACGAACCAAATACACACGCAGGTACACGGACAGAGTCAAGGTAAGGCATTGACGTGCAAAAGAAACATCTGCACACAATGGGTTAGTCTGTTGATTCCCAGTGATAGATATGTTGTCAGAGTATACAGAGAGCGATGCGCTGTGCAGCCCGAATCTCTCTCTCTCTTCGAGTGTTGCTATGTCCTTAATCTAGACCATCGATCTGACTCGGTTAGGCTATATTAAATATTCGTTTCCATATTAAATATATTAGAAGGAATATATATGTACGGGGACTCCGTGCTCGTAGGGATAGTTAACTAGTTAGTTAGTTAAATAATTGATTATCTAAATTGTGGCGCGGCTTAGCGAAGTGTGGCTGGTGCAGTCACCGCCCTTGTTTCTGCCAGCGTCATATCCATTCGTTCATCATCGTCTTTTGCGGCTGCTTCTTTTCCGTTTCTTGTTATTGCACCAGTTTTTGTCCGTTGAAGAATCTTCTCGACTGGTCATTTCTCGTCGGCTTATTGCCTTTATTCTCATTTCTCCCTGCCCTTCGTTGCTTTTCCCATCGTTCATCCTCCGTCTGCCTTTCCAACCCCTCCTCTTTCTGTTGGTGGCGCAAAGATGAAGCTCACCTTCAAGGTCCGTCCATCTTCGCTTTTCTTTCGCCCTGCGACATATCACTGACCCTGAATCTTTCGTGTCTACAGGATTTGAAACAACAAAAGTTCACCATCGATGCTGAGTCATCGGAGACGGTAAGTTTTGATGTTCTCTTGTAGCTCAGCCAGCATCCAGTCATTGCGGGGCTAAAATGAGATTGTTACTATCAGGTCGGACAAGTCAAGGAGAAGATTTCTACGGAAAAAGGATGGGAGGTTCCTCAGTTGAAGCTCATCTATTCCGGTACGTCGAGCAATGTTCCCTTTTCACGCGAGATTCATTTTTCACTCCTCCGTGTTTTTTGGGCAACGTGGGCTCAAGTCTAGGCCAGCCGCTGATTTCAGCTACAGGAAAGATCCTTCAAGATGACAAGACCGTCGAATCATATAACATCGAGGAAAAGGGTTTTATAGTGTGCATGGTGTCTAAGGTAACCATTCTTTCAATTCTTTTACTGTTTCAGATTGTTGAATGGAAAATTGACTCTACGGCTTCTACAGCCCAAGACCGCTCCTTCCTCCTCCGCCGTTTCTTCTCAAGCACCATCAACCCCTGCGAGAGCACCCGCTTCAACGCCAGCTGCACCAGCTGCCCCCGCGCCGTCGGCAGCCACCTCGACCCCGGCGGTCCCTGCGACCCCTTCTCCTGCCGGAGCTCCCCCGGCGCCAGCCGATACCCCGGCCCTCAATGACCCGTCTGCCCTGCTCAGCGGTTCGCAGAGTGAACCTGTTATTGCTCAGATGGAGAGCATGGGTTTCGCCAGAGAAGACATTACTCGTGCAATGAGAGCCGCCTTTTTCAACCCTGATCGTGCGATTGAATATCTGTTGAGCGTATGTTTTCACTGCTTCCCACCGCCCTTCTCCTTACGCGCTTCAAGCTAATTATCATAAAAAGGGTATCCCAGAGAACATTCAAGAGGAACAACAACAATCCGCTGCGGCCGCCCGTGCCGCCCAGGAACCTGCCGGTGAAACCCCCTCCGCCCCCGCTGCCCCTTCTGGCGAAGACGAGCCCGTCAACCTGTTTGAAGCCGCAGCCCAGGCTGGTAACGAAGGCACACGTGGATCGCGTGCCGGTGGTGCTGGTACTGGTACTGGTGCTGGTGCTGGTGCTGGTGCTGGTGGCGAAGCGCTTCCGAACCTCGATTTCCTTCGTAACAACCCTCATTTCCAACAACTGCGTCAGCTTGTTCAACAGCAGCCTCAGATGCTCGAGCCCATTCTTCAGCAGGTCGCCGCTGGTAACCCTCAGATCGCGCAACTCATTGGCCAAAACGAAGAGCAATTCCTCCAGCTGTTGAGTGAAGACGGTGAAGACGTGCTTCCTCCTGGTACACAGACGATCAGTGTTACGGAAGAGGAGAGAGATGCTATTGAGCGCGTACGTGCATTCCATCGTTTTCCTTTCACCTTGGTTTTTACACGCTGACAAGTTTTCTAGCTTTGCCGTCTTGGCTTCGAGCGGGATCTGGTCATCCAAGCCTACTTTGCTTGCGACAAAAACGAAGAGCTTGCCGCCAACTACTTGTTCGAGAACCCCGACGACCCTGAACTATAATTTCCCCATCTCTTGATGAGGAAGTTGTTGACAAACTTTCCGTTCTTTTCTTCTCCTGTCTCTTCGTAACGACTACCTTTCATGTATGATTCAGAATTCAATGCCTTCTTATTTCTTTTTTTACGGCTGTCCTGTTTATTGGGCCACGGCACAGCTTGGCGTCTTCGAAATCCCACATTCGATGAGTTGACTAGCGTGTTTTCTGCTACTACTATTTAGCCCAATATGTAGTGTTGATTCCAATATGTTTAATGCTCTTCTTACTGACTGTTATCCTATTCTTTCTATTTCTTTGAAGTAAAAGTCTACAACCGTCACACGAGGCTGATTGTTTGTCATGGTCATGAGGGGTTGCTATGCATGTTTCCCGCATGCAGTATGCATATATTCCGAACCCATCAACCAACCAAATATATGTCCAGTTTATATTTAAATCTAAATAACATATGGTGTATCTGTAATTTGTCCACTCTGACAAAGAAAAGAGAAGAAAAGAAACTTGCTAGTCTGGTCCTTTATCAACACCGCCGTCTAGCCGCCCAAACACCCAGCCCACGTCTACCCACGACACGAGATAACGTAGGAATCACACCATCATCACCAAAGTCCAGGTCATCGAGGTTGAGATGGTTCTCGTAGTACCACAGTTCGTGGAGCTCGATATCCTCCTCTTCTTCATTGGACTGAGGAGTAGAAGTAGGTATGTAGCGATCGAGGAAGGTGGCTGATTTTGGCGCAACCACATAGATTCCCTTATCCTTGTCTAGGTTGTTCGCATCGACTGAGCATGTAGGGAGGGCATGGTTAAGGTGATTGATTAGTTCCCCGCCGGGAATACCCATTAGGTCATTTGTGGTGATGTCGAGGGACTCGCCTAGCAACCATCGCGGAGGGGAGTAGGTTTTCCACCAGAAGACGGTAGCAGCTCCAGCGTCTTGTCCTGCACGGTGGTCCGCGATAATGCCGGGAATGGCGAGCTGAGTCGGTATCACGCCGCCCTGGTGGTAGATGCCCATGAGGACAGCCATGGCGACATTGAAGATAACCCAAGCTCCCTGCAGAAGCACGGATTGCTTCCGGGTACTTTGCATATGGAAACAGCTGAGGAGTAATGGAACGCAGGGGATCAAAAAGCGCGGTTCCTGGTGCGGGAAGACAGAGAGGAGGATCGTGGCGGAGATGGCAGATGCAGCGCGCATGTTCTTCACCCATGAGGGGATGGCTAACGGTCGTTTGTGATTGCCGGTGAACAGCGACGCGATCATCATGATATAGGCGGGGCCTAGGAGTTGGGGGAAATTGGCGAGGAAGTGTTGGTAGTGCGGGTGGAGGCCATGGTGGACTAGGTTTGAGGCGTCGGAGTTGTAAAGGAAGTTGTTGAGAGGGGTAATGATGGGGGAGCGTAGGGCTTCGAGGAGGGATGCGGAGGGTTTGTAGAAGATTGTGTCGCTGAGGATTGCGATGAAAGCGAAGAACAGTCCGGAGAGGGTGAAGGAGAGGATGGAGAGTGGTCTGTTGTGGGTCAGTGGGAAGACGCAAGAGAAGATATGGACGCAGGTACTGACTTGCGCTGAAAATGCGGCAACAGCAGGAGTCCCGGAAGGACGAGGAAGGCCGGGAAAGTGATGCGATTAAAGACGCCAGCTACAGCGATGAATGCGAGCACGGCGCAGGAGAAATGCGAAGAGCGTCGCTGCATAGATTAGTCGACTGAGCGTCGCCAGGTATTTGCGAGTACCAACCTTGTTCTCAATGATGCGCCGGATCAAGACCAGTCCCCAGGCGACCAGCAGAGTCTCGATCGAATTGGAAAATGTATGCGTTTGATAGGTCCAGGTGACATACGAGGAGGCCACCAGCACGATGGTTGCGCGCCGATGCCGCGGAGACGGTACGAATTCATAGATTGCCCAATCTTCCAGTACAAAGGTCAACAAGAACATGACACCTCGAATGACATTATAAACCAGCTCTGGGGGCGGGTTCCCCGTTCCCATCTCCGAGTAGAACCATTTCAGCAGGCTCATAGGCACATCGTAGACGGGCCATAGCGGGAAGACGCTGCGAATGGGGTGATCGGAGGTGAATTCCCATGGTCGTATGGAAGGATAGAAGAAGTTGCGACCTATTTCGGAATTGGATTAGCTGCTATAAATGCCAATGCCTCGGTACATGAAGTATGGTATCCTCTTTTGACGGCGCAGATCGAGCCTCATCCTTGGGATCAGGGGGGGGGAGATCTCGGGGAGGGGCATATATAGAAGGATCGCATGTCGCGCATTGGCACAATCGGAGAATATTGATCATCCTGAGGCCCAGGAGCAAAAGAACCAACCTGCAAAGATCTCCGGACCCTGAAAGTTCTCGTCCGGATGGAGATAACTGGGTGACAGCGCAAAGTAAACACGGATCACCAGTAGAAGCAAATAGGTTCGCCTCCACATGACTCAGATAGCTATTTGGGGACTTATTGCATGCCAGGCAGAAGCGAATACTAAAAGGGATCGATAGAATCAATATTAGGAGTATTAATATGTATAATAAGACAGCGACAAGAGTTGAAAAGGGATTAAATAAATGTATCGAGTTCCCCCCGAAAAAGTATAAATGCTGAGGCGAGACGCGTCGGAGGGGATGAGAAGTGATATCACTGGCTATGGAAGAGAAAAGGAATATTAGCCAGTAGTAAAGCACTTCTACATATGGAGTCGTACTCCAGATATAAAGTATACTGCTATATATCTACATGGTACTTTAGTCACCAACTACTTGTAATACTAGTCAGCCAATAGTCACTCAATCATGCCTAAAAGAGCTCCAAATAAAGATGCTTGACTCTCACTTAAATCCATGTTTCTTTTGATACATACTGAATTCTGCCTTGCTGGCGCCTTGTAATACAAACAAATACCAGGCAAATGCACCCTTTCCGCCTTCAGCCTCCGATTCACTAGTAATCTATTACCACCCATTACGGTAATCCAGCTCTTTCACTGTCTCCGTCGACATTGTGACTCTCTCTTTCTTCAACTCTCTGTCGGATTCCTTCATTTCTCAAATAAGGTTGTTTTACCATATAAACGACAGGTTTGTTCCCGCTGCTCTTATCCCTCTGCTCATCTCTTCCATCACTTTTCTCGAATTTGAAGCTTGTCAGTACAAGTGACTCCTTCCCCGCCTTTAAACGCCTCTACTTGTTGTCATCCAACCACGCATTTACTGAGTCTGACCCTGTCTTTTTCCAGAAACCCTCTAAAGAACCTCTAAAGAACCTCTAAAGAACATACCTATCAAAATGACTACATCCACCATCACTCTCACCAGCTCCGACGGCGTTGAGATCAGTGTCGGTAAGTGGTCGATCCAAAGCGCTGCATGCCATACACCATGCACCATGGACTAACCGTTTCTCTCCCTCTAGAGCGCGATGTTGCGGAGCGTTCCATCCTCATCAAGAACATGCTCGAAGACTTGGGCGAGTCGGACGAAGCTATCCCCATTCCCAACGTGCGTCTTCCATATCCCTTGTCGACGGTTGCGGTAATACTGATTTCTATGGTGTAGGTCAACGAGGCAGTTCTGCGCAAGGTGATCGAATGGTGCACCCACCACAAGAGCGACCCTCCCAACACCGGTGACGATGACGACTCCCGCCGCAAGACCACTGACATCGACGAGTGGGACCAGAAGTTCATGCAGGTCGACCAGGAGATGCTTTTCGAGATCATCTTGGTATGTCATACTGGATATCTGTACAGGGAAACGTTCTTGAACTAACAATTTTCTTTCATAGGCCGCCAACTACCTCGATATTAAGGCATTGCTGGACGTTGGCTGCAAGACCGTCGCCAACATGATCAAGGGCAAGTCGCCCGACGAGATCCGCAAGACCTTCAACATCCAGAACGACTTCACTCCCGAGGAAGAAGACCAGATCCGTCGTGAGAACGAGTGGGCTGAAGAGTGAGCTACACTGGTCCGTGAACCATGTCGAATCACTGCTAATTTTGATACTTCCTACAGCCGCTAAATTTCTTTCATCTGCGTGATTATTTGCTATGATATCCTCTGGAATATTGCTAGGAGAACAAATTTAATGATGATGAAACGGGACTAGATCCTTCAATTACACGGCGTTAGGCTTTTTTCAGGTCAGCGGTTTTTCTTCTCTTTAGCTGGCTCTGTTTGCTCTTCATTTCGGGCCCGGATTTCATATTTCACTTGGAATGGATTCAGATTGATCTGCGATAAGCCCAGTAAGACATTCTGTCCACTTGCGTAGCTAGGTCGAGACACCTATTGAACCTTGGTGCTTATTCTACGAAGTACACATGCAGAACAATATCACCGCGCAATGTTCCCGTCATGGACATTTGAATTTTTCATGTCTCAGCTCGTGTACATCATACGTAGGACATGCGAACAAGTCAAGAACCACCAGCATAAAACTCAACCCCGGACGTATATTGTCTCCGTAGTTACTGTTTTCTTTCGAACTTGACAAACGCAAAGCCATCCATCCATCGACCTTTATTCAGTACATGGGTACTTATAGTCCAGATCGCGCGCGGGAAACAAGACGAGATCACGAATTGAGAAACGAAAAAGTTTGAACTTGTCGAGGCTAGAAGTAGATGGATAATTCTTTCAATTCGAACCAGTAACCATAGTCGGCGCGTAACAAGCCGAGCCCATAGACGTAAATTAACATTTTGTCGAGCTAGCCATCAACAACCAGTCATCTTGAACTTTTTTCGCTCTTTTTTTTATTCTTTCAGGAGGAACACATTTGCGGCGTCATGATCGAACGGAAACAGGCATCTCGGTCGGGTGGAAAGGAGGAGGGTGAGATATCGACGAATTTACAGACCGAGACGGGTCTTGCGCCAGTGCCTCCGCTTGGCGTTGTAGCTATGAGAAGAGGATCGTTAGCCTTCTGCCTTTTGTCTCTGCTTGTTTTCAATATCGGTCGTGGTGAGGAGCAAAAAAAAAGAAAAAAAAAACTTGTTGTCGTCGCTCCTGAAAATCGCCAAACGGAATCGACTCAGGTATTTTCGAGGTCAGGGGGTATTTACTTGATGGTGTTGCCGGTCCTCAAACGAATCCACTGAGGGATGGGACGGTTCTGGCGCTGGGCTTTAGCAAGCTTCTGCTTGGTGCGGAAACTCTTGTGGCTCTATACGGATATTTTAGTTAGCAACTTTTCCCCTGGACGAAAATCACAGATAAAATATGCCAAATAAGGGCAAATAGAATTTCTCATAGCAAAAAGGGTACTAACCGGCATCTTGAAGACTTGTCGCGACGGCGAGCTGAAAAGGTATGGTCTGGCGATAAGTGAGGTTGTCGACTCTTTGACGGGCGGTGATTTTTGTGCGGGCAGGGCTTGGTGGGTTCGCTTCGGGGGTCAGGTGATTCGTGTCTGGGGCAGATACGAGATTGACACCTGTAATGTTAGGCATGTATTCTCCGCCCTAGTTAACTAGTTAACTAGTTAGTTACAGTTCCGGTTGGAGGATTTGGCGATGTATTGGGCTAGATATTGACTAATGTCAAAGAAGCAGCCGATGACTGCGGTTAGAATGAGGTCTTTTTTCGGCAGTCTCTTCATGGCTTCTGCTTTGACCAGACCAGATTGTATCTACTGTTGAGCGGTATGGTCTTGTATTTGATCCGTCCATGACTATTCTGTACTATGTATGCGAACGATTCAACTAAAGTGGTGGCTCAAGGGGAGAGACGTGTCTTCAGCTAAGCAAGCATCCAGAGTTCCTCTCTTTGTTCGTGTGCATCACGAACCCTGACTCGGGCGTTTGCTGATCATCGGGAGACAAAGGACTCTGTGCAGGGCTCTAGTATTCTTGACACGCCATGTAGCTCAGTGGATAAGCATAATTTGATTATACAAGTCTCTTTGTTCTTTGCTAAAAACGCGCAGAGGACAAACAAAACTGACCATGATCAGCTGAAATACGAAGCATGGGTCTAAAGCTTCGGCCTCGCAGAAGAAATCCAAGGATTTTGTTCCTCATGACGTAGGATCTTGATTACTAGAGCCGTCGTCAATCCCCGATTGCCAATGCGGACTCCTGTCCTACCCATGCAGCAAAAGTGACCGGCCGGAAACCCTCCGTCCTTCTGCAAAGACAGGAGCAGCTTCAAGTCTTGTCGGTAAACAACTGGAGGCAGACCAATCACTTGACAAGCCAAGACACGCAGCGCAAGGGATACCGGGTGTGTGAGAACGTTGATTCGCTCGAGGAGCGCCTCCCGGATGATATTGGGCCGGTCTTTCAGCCCATTCGCGCCACATTCCATGTACAGCTGAGCTGTGAACTAGAGAAAGGTCTCGGGCGTAGTATAGACCCGATTTCCATAGAGACAGGCTTGGTTCTTGAGACACTGAACCGCCCAGTCTTTCGTCTTGATACGGGGATCGTTGCCGCGGCCGAAGCGGTAGAAGACCCTAAGCATGTTGATGCAGACTTCGGGGGTTGTTCGGGGTCTATCGTCGCAAAAGTCTGCATAATTCCATCCGGACTTTGGTTTGATGCCATTTTTGTCCAGAACCAAATTTACGTTGGTTAGTTTCGAGAGATAGCTCTCCGGAAGAGACAAATAAGCCATGGATGTGGTGTCTGCGTCGGCGGGGAACTCCTTGGTCGTAAAAATGGGGTCCTCACAGAAATAGTTCCATAAACCGCTATTAACATTGGCTTGTGTAGAGAGCTTTGTGTTCTTCCAGTGGCCATTGACCTGAGCAGTAGACGGCCACTTGAGGTCAACAAGGTTCGCATCCCCGGTGATTCCCCAGATGAATAACTGAGCGAAATTATCCTTCAGAGTGATGTCCTGGCCTTCGACAACGCTACGGTGGTTTCCAGCGTTGGCTTTTATGTACACCTCGGCCCTTGCAAGCGGGCCTTGGAACAAATTCTGCAATGTTTGGCAAATGATGCCAACTGAATTCTTGTCGACCACAAGACCATGAATTCCAAAGGATCGCGCGGCACAGATATTCTCAGCCTGGTCATCGACCATGACCACTTGATTGGGACGGCATCCGGTTTCATCAATAACATGCTCGAAGAAGCACAAATCAGGCTTTTGCATGCCAACATGTCCGGACGCAAAAACCGCGCTGAACAGTGACCCAAGGCAGATTCATATTCTGCACGACTTGAAAATGCCCCTGTTCCTGTTAGTGGTGTGTTCAAGCTCGGACTTGCGGCATACTCGACTGATGTTCGACATGACATAGACTTGCAGGTCCGGGTTGGAGCCCTTCAACTCTTGAATAATCTGCGCCAATTGCTCATTCACAGTCAACGACTCTGGCGCCTGTTCAAGGCTCCCCTTGACAAATGAGGCCTTGACGCCGATCACGACGCTGAATTGTTGATATATTTTCAGATTTGCATTCCTGAGTACTAAGTACGCATAACTTACCTCACATACCTGGTCGAGTGAGAGATGGCATCTGTCCAGTGATGCTATGGGGGGTTCCAATCGAGCAGGACACCCCCGGGATCGAGTGATAGAGCTTTTAAATGCGAATTCATAATCTGTCAACGAATAACGGATGTAACTTGTGATCCAATATGTTAGATCGGTTTTTTTTTTTTTTTTTTTTTTTCGCCGAAAGCTTTGATGGATGGTGATGAATATATATATCTACACAAGGAAGTTAGGCTGAGTAGTCTAAGTAGATTCAGTCTTTGATGCAGATGTCTGTATTAGTCCTCAGGGAGGCTGTCCCTGTGGCTGATTTAGGCATGGTGCTGCCACAATTGACAGCGTGGCCGAGTCTACTATTCTTGACCCACGCACTCGATCCGAATTAGAATCTGAATTAATATAACGCGGGCCCCAAAGTTTATCCCGAGCCCTACGAGTTCAAACCGAAGCGTAGACTATGGTCTCCGGATAAATCGAAACTTTATCTCTTATACCAGGGTGCCGTGGAGTGTCTAGGCATGGTAAGAGTACCTCTTCTTTCAATGGAAATATGCCGTTGTCTCATATTCATTTGCAGTCCGATTTATTTCTATAGCAGAAGACTCAATGTTCGCTTCGATTAAGTACATAGCAAAACACTGCTTAGGGCTTCATGTCAAAATTATTTGCATAGAGATGTATGCGCCTACGCGTTGCAAACGTATCTGCGGGTGACTGAGACTGCGGGATTTACACCTGTAGATTCAGGCATATACAGCGTTTCTCAGGAATACGAATCCCTCTGACACAACCACATTCAGTCCCGATAAATTATCTTCAAAAACGTATATGGTCAGGTGTCTATCCGTATTGATTAAAGTATACACGTATAAACTGCGCGTCCATGTGCATTACACACCTCGGTTCTTTTGTGCTCTTATACTCGTAAATGGTCAGATCGGCAAACCGGGACCAAATATCGTAAATAAAAAGTTCTTATATAGCGTCAAATGGCGGTGTTCACAGAGCACGTGCAGGACAGAATGCTCCCCCTCCGAACCCCGTCACCATGTTTTACTACAGAATGTACTCTGTACAGTGAGATACAATTCAGAACAGCAAATCAAAGGATTCGATCTTTGCCCTATCGAGAGTCCGAAGCAACTCATAACTGGCGGGTGATTATCTTGGATCCTAACTGGCTCGTTTGCAAGCGATGTGCCGCAGCCGTTCGCGATTTGCTCGTTTTCGTTCTCGCTGTGCACTTTGATACCCGAGATAGTAGGTCTATCTATCAGATTGGTTGTACAAGTATGAACGAGTACTCCAGAGTACAAGTAAAATAAGGAGATAAGAAGGAAATAAGGAAATATTTCTAAACTCCGTGATCGTTGTAATGGCGATCATATGCCACACGATAGTTATACATTCATTTTGACTCATAGGCCATGTGAACGATAGCGTATAAAGTTATGCAAGATATGGACAGAGATAATTTTGACGTTTCGTATTCCGTATTCCTGGCGTATTTCGCGGTTTATCTGTGGCGGCTCCATAACAATCTACGGAGTACCCCAGCATCCATCGGGTCTACACTAAGAGGGCCACCATCTCCACTATACAATTCCAGAAGCTCCTTAATATCCAGCATAAAGGGGCTTTCAGAAGAGATGTTACTAGCAGTGTTATCATAGGGTACTTGATTCTTTGTCCATATCACATACCACGGGCAAAACCATCATAACCAGCAAAGTCGGTCTAAAAAAGCCCCTCCGATTGGCTGATAGGGCGAAGCATTGTCACTGCATTAAAAAAAAAACTTTCATCGGAAAACCGGACCCCCGACCGCCGGGCCAGAATTATGCACAGAACACGGACAGTCCCGCAAAAGGCGTAAAGTCGTAACTAAAAAAGTAAGCTCTCGGTGGCCCACGAGGACCTCAAAAAAGGCCCCATGCCCGTCGTTTCTCTCGCTGGAGAGTCCATTCATAGTCAACTATTATTCTTACAACTCAGAGTGGACTGGTTCCTGATCGTCCAATCCAAGGACCGGCCCTAGTTCGTTCTCTTTGTTCGTCACGATCAATATTTCCATAACCGGCTGGGACTGACGTCGTTTGGCAAGAACAATATCTCTGCTGTTGACGACGCGATATTCTCGAGTCCCCTTTTTATCTCGTTATTTTTTACTGTCATCTTCTTTTCTTTCACTCTGCAAGTCATACGTTACATGGTGTGAGGATCACGTCGGCAACATTTACCGTATAACCTCACCATATTGTCATTGAAGCTCTTGCTTCAACAACCCTCCGGACAATATGGCACAACCAGGTGACGGTTCGAAAGCCCTGGAAAAGGCCGTGGGGGATGGCCCCGTGGTCTCGACGCAGCGACAGACTCCCTCGCACGCCTCCAGTACAACAATCGGGCAGCATGCAGGCAAAGAACAAGAAGCGAAGTCGACTCCGGTGGCCGATTCATCCGATTCAGATGCCTTATATGCTCACCTGCCGGAACACGAGAAACAGATTTTGAAGGACCAGCTTGATGGACCGGAGGTGAAGGCATCATTTGTCACCCTCTTTCGATATGCTTCCAAATGGGACATCGTGATTATGATCGTGAGCGCTATCTGCTCTATTGCAGCTGGTGCGGCGTTACCCCTGTTCACGGTGAGTAATCAATACCTCAATTGGTTGGGAATTATCAATGCTGATTAGTGCACGCTCTCAGATTCTATTCGGTTCGCTAGCCACGGCCTTCCAAAGTATCACTCTGGGAACTATTCCATACGACCAATTCTACGACCAACTAACGACCAACGTTTTATACTTTGTGTACCTCGGTATCGGTGAATTTGTCACGGTCTACATCTGCACCGTTGGATTCATCTACACTGGCGAGCATGTCACGCAAAAGATCCGTGAACACTATCTTGAGGCCATCCTGAGACAAAACATGGCCTATTTCGATCGCCTGGGTGCCGGTGAAGTGACCACTCGCATTACAGCAGACACAAACCTGGTCCAGGAAGGTATCTCCGAAAAAGTCGGGTTGACCTTGACCGCAATCGCTACCTTCGTCACGGGTTTCATCGTCGCCTATATCAAGGGTCCCAAATTGGCCGGAATTTGCACATGTACCATCGTTGCGATTGTTCTGATCATGGGAGGCAGCTCGCGATTCATCATCCGGTTTAGCAAACAAGCCCTGGGCAGCTACGGTGCAGGTGGAACTGTCGCGGAGGAAGTGATCAGCTCCGTTCGAAATGCCACCGCATTTGGCACCCAGGACAAGTTGGCCAAGCAATACGAAGCGCATCTGGCCGAAGGAGAGAAATGGGGCATCAAAGTGAAAATCATAGTCGGTATTATGATCGGTGCCATGTTTGGAATCATGTTTATGAATTACGGTCTTGGTTTCTGGATGGGCTCCCGCTTCCTGGTCGCCGGCGATATGGATGTAGGCCATGTCTTGACAATCTTGATGGCCATCTTGATCGGTTCGTTCAGTTTGGGAAACGTTGGTCCACACGGTCAAGCCTTCACCAATGCTCTAGCCGCATCTGCCAAGATCTACAATACTATCGACCGCCACTCCCCATTGGACCCTTTCTCTGACGAAGGGAAAACGCTCGAGCACTTTGAAGGAAACATCGAGTTCCAGGATGTCAAACACATTTACCCCTCGCGCCCGGAGGTCACGATTATGGATGGCGTCTCGCTGAGCATGCCTGCTGGAAAGACCACGGCCTTGGTTGGCCCTTCGGGGTCTGGAAAAAGTACTGTGGTCGGCCTTGTTGAGCGCTTTTACCTTCCTGTTGGCGGTACTGTACTTTTGGATGGCGATGACATTCAAACTCTCAACCTCCGTTGGTTGCGCCAACAAATCTCGCTCGTCAGTCAGGAGCCTATTCTGTTTGGGACCACGATCTATCAAAACATTCGTTACGGCCTTATCGGTACGAAGTTCGAGCAGGAGCCCGAAGAAAAAATTCGCGAACGAGTCGAAGAGGCAGCGAGAATGGCCAACGCTCATGACTTCGTCACAGCACTGCCAGAAGGGTATGAAACCAATGTTGGCCAGCGGGGATTCCTGCTCTCGGGTGGCCAAAAGCAACGTATCGCCATCGCCCGTGCCATTGTCAGTGACCCGAAGATCCTGTTGCTTGATGAAGCAACTTCTGCATTGGATACCAAGTCGGAAGGTGTTGTGCAAGCAGCGCTTGATAGGGCTGCTGAAGGTCGGACAACCATCGTGATTGCACACCGCTTGTCTACGATCAAATCAGCCCACAACATCGTTGTCTTCGTCGATGGTCAGATTGCCGAACAGGGCACTCACGACATGCTCGTCGATCGCGAAGGCCCCTACCGCAGCCTTGTGGAGGCGCAACGTATCAACGAGGAGAAGGACGCGGATGCCATGGAAGTTGAAGGGGAAATCGACGAGAAGCAAGTCGCCGCCGAAGAAGTTGCTCGCATCAAAACTGCCACGAGTGCCTCGGGTTCGATGAACGAAAAGACCGATCAGCCCCTTGAACGAACGGATACCAAGCAATCTATTTCGAGTGTCGTCCTTTCGCAAATGCCACCCGAAACCCAGAAGAAGTACTCTCTATGGGCATTGATTAAATTCATTGCTGGATTCAACAAGCCCGAGCTCTTGTATATGTTTATCGGCCTGGTCTTTTCTGTTCTTTCTGGTGGCGGCCAACCGACCCAGGCTGTGCTTTATGCCAAGGCAATCAGTTCGCTCTCCAAGCCTTTGAGCATGTCCGACCAGATCCGACACGATGCGAACTTCTGGTCGTTGATGTTCTTTGTGGTTGGCATCGCTCAGTTCATCAACTTTTCGACTCAGGGAACGGCGTTTGCTGTCTGCTCCGAGCGATTAATCTGTCGGGCCAGAAGCAAGGCATTCCGGGCAATTCTCCGCCAGGATATTACCTTTTTCGACCGAGAAGAGAACAGTACTGGTGCTCTGACGTCTTTCCTCTCTACGGAAACGAATCACCTGTCTGGAATTAGTGGTGCGACCCTCGGAACGATTTTGATGACGACTACGACACTTGGAGCGGCTATCATTATCTCATTGTCTCTTGGTTGGAAGCTGGCCCTTGTGTGTATTTCGGTGGTTCCGGTTTTGCTGTCCTGTGGATTCCTCCGGTTTTACATGCTTGCTCGATTCCAAAACCGATCCAAGAAGGCTTATGAATCGTCCGCCAACTATGCGTGTGAGGCGACATCTGCCATCCGTACAGTGGCTTCTCTTACTCGGGAAAAGGATGTTTGGGAACAGTATCACGGACAGCTTGAGGAGCAAGGCCAGAAGAGCTTGGTCTCCATCCTGAAGTCATCTGTTCTCTATGCTGCTTCCCAGGCCTTGGTTTTCTTCTGCGTTGCACTTGGTTTCTGGTATGGTGGTACTCTTTTGGGTAAGGGTGAATACGACATCTTCCACTTCTTCGTTTGCTTTGCAGAAATCCTTTTCGGTGCGCAGTCTGCCGGAACGATCTTCTCGTTCGCGCCAGACATGGGCAAGGCGAAAAATGCTGCTGCAGAGTTCAGGATACTGTTCGACCGGAAGCCCGCCATCGACACCTGGTCTGAGGAGGGCGAGAAGATCGAATCGATCAAAGGCGAAGTTGAGTTCCGTGATGTGCACTTCCGGTACCCGACTCGTGGCGAGCAACCTGTTCTCCGGGGCTTGAACTTGAGCGTCAAGCCTGGCCAGTACATTGCACTTGTCGGCCCCAGTGGATGCGGCAAGAGTACTACGATTGCTCTTCTGGAACGCTTCTATGATGCGCTTGCCGGTAGTGTCCTTGTGGATGGCAAGGACATTACGGAGCTCAATGTGAACTCGTACCGCAACTTCTTGTCGCTTGTCAGCCAAGAACCCACGCTGTACCAAGGAACGATCAAGGAGAACATTCTGCTTGGGTCTGATAAGGATGATGTCTCGGAAGAGGATTTGATCAAGACATGCAAGGACGCCAACATTTACGACTTTATCATGTCTCTTCCGTAAGTTCTCCTTTATAACCTATTTTTCCTGATTTAACGCTAACGAAATCATAGTGAGGGCTTCAACACTGTCGTTGGTAACAAAGGTGGCATGTTGTCAGGTGGACAGAAGCAACGAATTGCCATTGCCCGCGCACTCCTCCGGAACCCAAAGATTCTCCTTCTTGACGAGGCTACATCAGCCCTGGACTCTGAATCGGAGAAGGTCGTGCAGGCCGCTCTGGATGCCGCCGCTCGCGGACGTACCACCATCGCCGTGGCTCACCGTCTGAGCACGATCCAAAAGGCCGACATCATCTACGTGTTCGACCAGGGCAAGATCGTCGAGAGCGGCTCACACCACGAACTGCTCCGCCTCGAGGGACGGTACTTCGAGCTGGTGAACATGCAGAGTCTCGGAAAGGCTCAATAATCTCCCTTCATTATTTCATTCCTCCTCACCACTACTTCGATCTATACCTTCTAATCCCTCCTTTCTCCTCTCAGCATCCTCCGCTCTAATGTGTTGACGACTTAATCTGTTGTGTGACGACAACTGATCTCTTTGATATAATTTATATTGCTAATTTTGGCTGATAGGAGGTGTTTTCTAGCTGCATGGCTTAATGTATTTAGACTTGAACGTTTGGCATGATGGCAAGTACATAATAAAAGTTTGCTGAGATAGAACTTGAACATTGCTTTTTGAATTTGGTATCCATAACGCCTCGTAAAATCAATCCTAAACATCGTGCACGGTATATCTACGCCGGTCAATCCTTCTCACCAGCCCCAAACTCCCTTTGCACCTCAATCTGTCTCACTCCACGCGCCTCGGCGATCAACCCCATTAATCCCTGGGCGACATCCTTGATTTCATTGTAGTCGTGGAGAAGACGGATGTGGCGCTTTACCGTGATTGAAGGGTCATTCCTGGTGCTATTAGCATACACATACGGGCTGGGGATTGGAGACAGGCATACTTTAGCTTAGCTTTAACCTCCGCAATCTCCCCCTCGAGTTGCTGTGTTTGGGATTGGAGATCATCGATGGATGCTTGAAGGGTTTTCTATTCATTATCAGATTAAAATTGTACCTAGATACGCGCAAAATGCGAGGAACATACCACCTTCCTTTCCCGCTGGAGCTGTTCCGGGGAAGGATTCTGGCCGTTTTCGGATGACGTGAGATGGGGAGAGTCGTGTTGGGAGGGTTGGGGTTGGTTTGGTGAGGAGAGCATGTTGATTGGTTATCTGGTATGGTTGGTTATGATGGTTCGAGAGGATTGGTTATCTGGTTGTGGTTGTTGGTGGTAGTTCGGTGGTGGCGTGCTTGTATAGAACGGAGTCGGAGTCGGAGGACGGGGTCGGAGAGGAGTACAAGTAAAAAGTGGGCTGTGATGATCTGAGATATGAATAGAATCGATTCTTACTGGGCCAATAGAACGGGGGGTATTCAATCATAAGACATTGTTCTCTAAGATGGACGAAAGAGACATACAAAAGTGAATAGTAATACTAATTAACGTGAGGCCGAGTGGTGTATCAACGGCTTTCTGGAATTTAGAAAAACTCATTCTTTTTGGCCACTAATTCTCCTATTACAATTATTCTTACTATTATTTACTCCTCTAACCATATATAAAAAAAGATAATCTCCTATTCTGTCAAGTATATCCACTTTATCGGCGTCGTTGTGGCCAGAGCATCCGTCCAATCCCATTGGCCCTTTTCCATCCCCGTAATCCAAAGCGTCGTCGTCTTCTATTTCTCTTTTCCCTCCTTCAACTCCCCTCTTTTTCACCACTTCTTCTCGGGTTATTTATCTCGACCATATTCTACCGCGATGACGATACCAAATCCACTCCAACTCCGGGGTGGAGGAGTGTTGGCCGCGCTCTTCTTCCTCGTCCCGTCCGTTCTCGCGCATGGCGGCCACGAACAGGTCCCTGAAGGCAGCGCCGTTTCCGAAGACCCTATTGTACGTCGCCGTTTTTTCTGTTTGGATTTGGGGAATATGGACTGACAGTGACAGGACTCGACATTATGGACTCACATGATTCTTATGGGTCTCGCATTTGGTATTATCTTTCCGCTGGGAATGGTTCTGGGGGTATGTTCCTGGCTATCGTGGATTTTTCCTGAGGGATATCATACTAATCAACTAGATCACTCGCTCTCGCTGGCATGTCCCCCTCCAAGTCGTCGGAACGATCATCGCCGTCCTGGCCTACTTCCTCGGACACGCTCATAAAGGTCGCCAATTCGCCAAGAACGTCCACGCTCCGTTCGCGAATATCCTGATGATCCAGCTTATCGCGCAGGTCGTGTTGGGTGTCTACCTGAAGCTGCACCTGTCCAAGGGGATCCACGGCCGGATCCGTCGGTTTATTGTCATTCTGCATGGAATACTCGGAAAGGCGATGCCGGTTGTCAGCTGGGCTCAGATGCTCTTTGGTGGAATCACTGCCCTGGGCTTCTGTCGGGATGACCACATGGGGCAGTGTCTGGCGCATTTCATCATGGGAAGCGCTTTCATCGCCTACGGAATCTTGTTGACCCTCCTCCTCCTTGCTGGTCAGTACTGGTTGCGCCGCACCGGCCGCAGCCAGGAGTTCTTCGACTCGCTCGTTATCGCCGCATGGGGATGTGTCAACACCTTCACTGAACACCGCTGGGGAGGTCCGTGGGTGCATAACGACCTGCAGCACACCACCATGGGAATTGTCTGGTGGTGCGCTGGTCTGCTGGGTGTCTGGCTGAGCAGGAAGCGCAACGGCGGGCCCAAGCGGAACATTATCCCTGGTATCGTTATTATGTTGACTGGTTATGCCATGTCTAGTCACCCTCAGCACTCGATGGTCAGCACTATGATTCACTCGTTCTTTGGCTACACGCTCATGGCTGCTGGAGCTACGAGAATCATTGAAATTGTGTTCGTGCTGGGGGATCGCAGCACTCTCAGTGTGGATGGTACTAATCCCAACAGCTTCCAATACCTGCCGCCTTTCGTACGTCTCCTTCCCGCTGTACTTTTTCTTGCGTTACCACTAACGACTATTTAGCTTCTGTACGCTTCCGGATTCCTTTTCATGGGCGCCACCGAGGAGCAAATGCAGCTTTTGGAGGACGCTGGGATTACTCACGTCTCCTACATTCTGATTCTGTTCAGTATCGCCTTTATTCTCTTCCTCTGTGAGTAACCCCTAAATCTGGCTTCGGAATGTTATCTAATCCCGTCCAGTCGTGAACATCCTCCTCCACATCTACGCCGTCCACGCATGGCCCGAATCCGCCAAAGCGCAGCCCAATGATGACATCGATGCTGAAGACGGTGCACACCCCAAGCCCTCCCGCGCGAACGGTCACGCACGGTCACCATCCGAGGCGCGGCAAATCCACGACGCAGAAGCTTTTGAGCTGCAAGGTCTCATCTCTGATGAAGAGGAAGAGGCTAGAGCCGGGCACCAAGGCCGGCATCAGAAGAACGAGGATGAGGAGCCTCAGACTCAGCATTAAATTGTCTGGGTGGTTACAATAATGGAATAAAAGTTGGTGGATCATCATATACATAAATAGTGCCCTGGCTTCTCTTCTTCTCTTGGATTTCAATTATTTAGTGACATCTACCTCTCTTGCAATGCAGATGGAGTCCTGGATATCAATTTGCTTCTACTGACTGGCGTTTGGTGGGATAGGCTTGCTTTTTATACCAATGTACACTAGTTATACTCGTGCATATATTCAGCATTTATGGAGAAATTAATTGTTTCTGCAAGCATCAATCGCAACCAAATTCAATCTGCATTTCTGCATATGCGATACTATCGTACACTCATGATATTCAACTAGTTAGGTTTTAAATCAGTAAAACAAAAACAACTACTGCGTGAGATCAGTAGCAGCGTTGTTATTGTTGTTCGCAGCAGCCGGCCCAGGATGCACAGGAATCGCATTCACAGCCGCAGGCGTGACAGCTGGCATGGCATTCTCAACCTCCGGTGGGAAAAACGGATGCAACGGATAAACCGGGGCGACGGATTTATCACCATCAAACAGCAATAGATTCTGCAGTGGTTGTTCACGGGCACTCAGGACGTTGATGACATCCTGCGCGAGAGAACCGCCCACGAACGCGGCGACGGGGCTCAGTTCACTGCCGAGGTTTTCGAGGAAGGTGCGCAGGAAAGTAGAGTCGAGGGTGCTGATGTCGAGTTTTAGCTCGTGGTGCCTATCGCGAGCGAGCTTGGTGAAGGTCTCGAGGTCCTGGCGGGACGAGAGCGTGGGGAGGGGTGTGTGGTTTCCGGGGAGTTTTTGGAATTCCCACAGCGCACGCAGGCAGGTGAGGAGCGGTGTCACTTGTCTCCTGCGACGCGGGAGACGAGTGAAATCCTCGGGGAGGGGGGAAGTATTTGCCAGGATCAGCGGGGAGTAGACCTCTCGCTTGGTGACCATTTCGATAACCTTGTCGCTTTCGACTTTCGTGTTGATGTTGAGAACGCTTCGGGTTGGGGTTTCTTGGGTTTGGGAGGGGACGTTGGATTTGGAGCGTTCGATGACGAAGTCGTGCGAAATTAGGTCTGAGAAGACGTAGCCGTAGAAGCCGTGCAGGCCGGCGGCGTAGAAGGGGCGGTTGGCGAGACGGCAGGAGGCGTTGATTGTAGTGTAGGTGGAGAAGTCGAGCTCTGTTGCGATGACGATGTCGAACTGGGAGAAGTAGTCTGGTTGTTTGGTGCGCACGTTCTCTGTGTTGACTCGTAGTTGGACTCGGGGGTTCATGGCGCGGATTTCAGCGCTGGCTGCTTGTGCGCGCTGCCAAACTTAGCGCCTCAATTAAGAAATTGGTCGGTGGGTGAAGACATACATTCTGCCCAACATGCTCCTCACGCACAAAAAATTGCGCTCCCAGGTCCTCCTCTGTGACAGTCTCATGGTCCAGGATAGTCAGGCCACCAATGCCTGCCAATACCAAGTTCTTGGCAACCTCGTTCGCCAGCGCCTTAATAGTGATCAGGAGGATGTTCGCGGATCGTAGTCTAGAAGTCTTGTCAATGACATCTGTATAGGAATCTGTCCAGAGATGCTTACTTTTCCTGCGCCTTCACACCCCAAAGTCGGATCTGACGGTCGTACAGAGCAATCTCGTCTATCATATCGCACGAATTGTCTGTCAGATGTCCATTCTTCTTTGTATATGACTCGTATTCTTCTTACCAGCGCTGATCGATTGGGTCGCATTCTCCTGCGACGCCATCTTGTTACACAACGTGGATTGTTCTTCGGTTAAGGCTTGGTGTAAGAAGAGCCGTAGATAATCTGGAGCAGCGAAAATAGATCAATATTTCGCAAAGTTAATGAGTAGCTTGTGAATCTCAAACAAGCTGTCGTGTCGCGGGAATCTAGGGTATAAGTATGCGGAGGTGAGGAATAAGCAACAGAGGAGACGCAGCAATCAGGCCAGGATGCAATACTATCACGCATGAGCCCCTCAGCTGTATAATCGAAAGAACCCTGTTGCAAACACACCCGGATTGTCGTCTCTCGTCGTTTGTCGTTGTTGTCGCATCGCAATCCAACATCCGCCGCTTTTATCGGAGCCGACATCACGTGTCTGCCGATAACTTATCGCCCTCGTCAGGCGATTTCATTTCATTACTGCCAACTCCTCGACTTCTGGTGCTATTCTTACTCTCTCGCAGGTTCGGGAGGTTCATCGTCTGTCTTTCTGGCACCGGTTCAGTTATTCTTGTCATATTTGCTCTCTTTTTCTTCCTAGTGTTCTATGCATATACATTTCCCGGTATGAGTGAATCCCTCCTTTTCCCCCACTTCATTTAACTTGGCTAACTTGGGCGGTGTCTACGAAGTAGGATGGTACGTTTATGATTACTACTGCTGCCTGTTCATTCGTCAGATCGACGGCTTTCGTACTACGGAGCTAGGAGGAAATATTGCCCACGTCATCACGTTCATCTGTATTGACCGGTGTTATTAACTATAGTCGGGGAACCACGACTACCCTCCCGCTTCTCGACGTACCCCTCGTACAAGCGATCATAGCGGGCGATCCCAGCAACGATCCGGCCAGGCCCAACATCTCCGGGACTACTTGAACTCAGAACGAATGCGGAACCCTAATATGAACCACAACCGCATGGTGGAGCTCTTGGATGAGGAAATGCGCGAGTATCTCGCCAGCGAGGCACAGACCAGAGCAGCAGTGGACCATCAGATTCGACAGCTAGAATCGCATATTTCTAGAAATAACGACCGCGGAATGGATTCTCAAGATACTCCACCCCAAGGTAGCAGGCCTACCAGACGTCGGGGTAGAGGGGCAAGGAGCAGGGAAACCGAAAACAATACTCTACTCGACGAACCGATACCTCACCTCGAGTCGCCCACTGTAGTTCCTCAGGAATTAGAAATTCATCGTCAATCGAACCGAAGGGTCAAGCGGAGAAAGCTGGAGTCTGACGATGTCAGAGAAGGCACACGCGGTTTCTCTTACGGACAATTCGGCCAGGTCGTGCCAGGAGCTCTCAGGATGGAAATAGCCAGCTGTGATGGGGGAACCTACGAGCCTGATGGCGAGAGCTCGTTTCCGGATAATATCCTGCGGAACGATTCGTCTGTCTATTGCACCAAGTCGGATCGCTGCAATTTGCTCTTGAAGCACGTCGGAGGGGCGCCTTTCTGCTTGAAGAGGATTGTCATCAAAGCTCCAAAAACTGGTTATGACTCTCCGTACGTTTTTTGTGAAATTAAGCGATTCAAATGGAACAGTTCACTAACTATCTTTAGGATACAAGAAGGAATGGTCTTCGTCTCCATGACATCCGACGATATTTTGACCCGTACCGCTCAAGACCAAGTTCATTACTCTGGTGCTCGACGGCGACGACGTAATCGACGAAGCGGATTATCACGGTATGCGCCTTTTTACCCATTGCCATACGAGGAGGAGCTAGAGAGGGCCATGCGCGGGAGTCCGGATTCCGAAGACTCGACACAAACCACGGTCGATCCAGTGGCCGGCTTCAGGGTTACGACCAGTCATAACGACAACGATCGCGATATTCCAGAACAACTTAATGAACAAGAAGACGATGACGACTGCCCTACCATCGAGGAGATTGAAAGGCTGCGGATTGGACAGCTGATGGAAGACGACATAGCCTGTACTGACAGCGACGACAGCGAAAGCGACTCTACATCCGATCTTAACGTTTCCACGTCTCAATTTGACTCATTTTACCGTCGACGACGCAGACTGTCGAACTTGCTGAGAATCCCACGTCAGCAGCAACAACAACAGCAGCAGAGACAGCATCAGACCACTAGTTTCGTTGAGCCGCCTATGGATTCCCAAACGAACGCCTTGCGAAGCAATGGACTTTTACGGCCACATGCGCAGTTCTTCATTGAGCGTGCGCAGAGTATGGTCAACATCAAATTTGATCCTCCTCCGTACGTCATTTCCCGTCCTACACAATTAAAGAGCCTTTGCTAACTGATCTTGCAGGTCTGGTAGATACATCCTAATCAAACTCTGGAGTCCCCATAACGGAGGTAACATCGACATCCAAAGCGTCATTGTGCATGGCTTCGCGGGTCCTCGTTACTTCCCAGCCGGTGGTTTACGATAGTCACGTCTCCCTCTTCACTCTCTCGCCCTCTCTGCCTCTTCCTCGCCGCCTCTTCCTCGCCGCCTCTTCTCTTCACATTATACGGATATCTTCACGATACAGCTGGGTACAAGCTATAACTTGTTCCATACATTCGCTGTCACTTTGCTTTACTTCATGGGTTGTTTTAAATGGGATGGGTCGTTATTATTACTTATGCATACACCGGATGGGCTCGGATCGGTTCTGGTTCATTTGATCTATATCTGTACTAGCATATATCTAGATGGTACTGGGTGGGATGGATCTAAGGGATAAATATAATGGTACTTATATTATTATTCCTGTATTCTATTGATGTTCTTTCCCTGCAGAAGTAAGGGTCTTTGGTACCACTCACTGCAGATGATAGACATCAGGATAGTGGCAATATACCAGTCGATGAGATGATATTAAGATCACAACCAAAGTTGAGTATACCCAATGAAAGAAACCCAAAAGTGCCAAGACTTAAGGAAAGATCAACAAGAAAGCAGGCTAAAAGTCACAAGAAGAAAGAAGTTATTTGACCAGAAATATGTACAATGGTCCCTCTCTCTCTCTCTCTCTCAAACGAAACATCCAAGACGTAAAAGGGCAAATAGTAATATCAGAGACAGGTAAAAAGACATAATAAACGCGGTCTATCGCGCTATTATTAAAATGATAATGTTGTCAGCCTTACCAAGCCCTTAAGCAGGGCAGATTGACATCTTCTCGAATCAATCGATGGTTCGTTGCTCATCTCTCATGCAAAGATTGTTGAACGCCTGGTGCAGTGATGGAAAGAATTGCCTGTCGAAAAAGTGGTGGAGCAATGCTCCAGAAAAGCAAAATACACAAAATAGAAAGGGGAATCCAACTCCAACCATGTAGAAAGCAAACAAGAGTTTCCAAAAAGTGGGCGCGTACGGCCATTTATATGACAACGACATCTCCTTCAGCGTCCGCTGGATCAGAGGCCATCATGTCACCATATTTCCCCACGGACATCAGCATAGAATCGTCGTCAAGGTCTATTGCGCTGTCATCGTTGTTCCCGGCATGAAAATTCGCAATGTTCTCCGCGACAGTGGTGGGCTTGGGGTTATCCAAATTGTTTTGGCCTGATTCAGTTTCCATGCGGCTGTCATTCAAAGATTGATGTTGATTTTGCGGTGCTTCACTGGTTGCTGCCGTGGAAGGTGCCCGAGAGACCGACTGACGGTCCTGGTGGGCATCAGTGGCCATGAGTGTATCATTCTTATCACTAATGGCAAAGCTGGGCTGTCTCATAACGAAGTTGTTCATCCCTGACGGTTCTGTCCCGAGTGTTGCGTTCTGCAAAGAACTTGGTGACGAGTGCATAAATCCACCCTGCTCCGTTTGCCAAACCATCATCTCGTGAAAAAACACCTTTGTCATCCACCAAGCACTGAAGCTCTGGGCACCACCCAATGTTAACCGACGAAGGACACAATCCCATAATGCGTCGACCTTTTCTATAATACACTGTGCACGGTGATTGGGAAACATTAGTGGTATATTGAGGATGAATGATACCCATTTGTCGGGGAAGTTGTAGTCATCGCCAGTTGCGGACTGAACAGGGTACTTATGCGCCTCAATATCATCTTCGGTATCAGGGGTTGCAAAAAAAGGCTGGCAAGGAGCGACACTTGGGTCGCTTACGGGAGTAAGCAAGGCCCGGATGTCGTGCTTCAGAATCTGTTCGGTTACCCGCTCAGCGCATCTCGGAATGTTTGCTTTTGAGATCATTTCCTTAGGGTCAACCAAGGTCTTGAAATCGAACCACATTTGATTCCTGTTGTCAGGATGGCAGAGCCAGGCAGCCGCCGCGTTGGCGGACTGGTTCACATCAAGCATGTGCCGGAGAAGACTGCAGAAGATGTTTGCCGGGATTAACCGTGCGAGAGAAACATGTGCGGGCTGGGATTTGAAGGTTTCAGTGATGTGGGGAGTGAGGCGTTGTGAGATCGAGCTGAAAGCATCCAGCACCAGCTTAGGCACGACCTGCGTGGTTAGCGGTGCCACGAATGCAATCATTTTCTGGTACATGAGCCAGTCACACTCTTTTATCCATGGGGCAATGTCGGGATGCGTGAGAAGTTTTTGCACCGGGACGGTCAAGGTTCCATGGAAAGCGGAGAAGTATCGTAGAAGGTTGCGTTCTTTGCAGTATCTGAAGCTGTCGATGACCGATATGCAGTGGGACCGGTACAGGGCCGCAAGGGCTGCGGCGACCTTCAAGTCGGCGTTGGGGGGCAGGTATGGGTGAATATCAGGGAGCTGGAGGGAGTCGTTGTCGACAGAATAGGTGTCTGCAGAAGGAAATCGGAGCATTTGATGAATCATTTTCCCGGCGTGACTTCTGACGTTCTCGAGGGTCATTGGCAGTTCCAGGGTGCCACGAGAAGCAGATTGGCAGGCACAGCCTCCAGTCGGCAAACTAGTCGACATGCGAGGAGCGAACGAGGCTGTTGGTGAAGGAAACACGGCCGTATCAGCCGGGGGTGGTGGTACTGCGCCAGCACTATTGTTCTTGTCAGAATCCGATATTCATTTTTGTCACTTTACTTGTCATGTTCTCCAACATACCTCTTTGATAGCGCATCTTCAGCCCTGTTTTCCGGCGGGACACTGGCATTTGATGGGACCTGAGAGCCAAGGGACTGATGTTTTTGTTGCTTCTCCTCTATCACGGTCAAGTCAACATAATGATACTTGGATTCCCCGCGAACACCCAGTCGTCGTGTTTGCACGTTCGGGAATATGATGCGCACAAGCTTCCCAAAGGAAGCTGGATTCAGAACCGAGACACGCTCGGTTCCACACTTCTCAGCGTAGCAGCAGTACACACGGTCCCGTCGAACGGAACCGCTACTCTTTCTGCAGTTCTCCCTCAACCTGCAGATACGGCGTCAGTGTCACATGTAAATCAAGAAACAACACAAAAGCATACCAGATCATAGCAAAGACCTGTTTGACCTTCTCAGCTTTGCCTCCAGCACCCTCGTGTTTCAGAACCTCCGCTGCCATCTGCTTGAGCGAGTAGCCTTCGTACTGACGCAACAGTTTGCGCAATTCGTTGTCGTTCGCTAATGAAGAGCTCGATCCCTTTTTCTTCTTTCCCCCACCAGCCTCTGAGTTTTCATTGTCCTCCAACATATGCTCCGGCACGTGATTCTCGATGCCACTGTCGTACAGGGATTGATACTGGGACATGGGCACCCCGGACAAACCGTGCCCTGATAACTCCGGCGGCAATGCTTGCTGAGAAATGGTGTGAGTCTGGAGCGCATGATGCGAAAAATCTTCTGCTCGGGGCATGATGGGATGGTGTGCATCTGGCAAGGTCGGGTCCAACGAAGTACCATTCACGGGATGCGACAGGTTGGGACCAAAGCGCATAATAATATCTTCTGGGTTGTTGCCAAAAACATTGTGACCCGTGGCCTGCTGAGTGGGAAGGAATTGCGCGAATCCGTCGGCAACATTTTGGTCCTGGGTCTGCTGGGAATGGATACTGGCTGTGGAGCCTCTGGATCTAGGACGACGACTATTCCGCGAGACTACATGTTCGGAACGAGCCCTCATGGGATCCGCAGTCCCAGGACGGCTATGCGGTGGTACTATCTGAGTGGACTGAGAGGCAGCACTCGAGGACTGCGAGGCTGCTCGACCTATTCGGTGGGAACAAAACAGTTAGCGAACACACAGCCATTGGGCAGTGACGACGTGCAAAATGGGGAAAATCCAGGAGGGGACGAATGGCAACAGCTGTACTTACCCATCTCTGGAGGCAACATGAGGCTCTACGACGCAGCTCCCGTGCAGGTGTGGCCGGTGGTTTCGTGGTTGTTGCTGGGTGGATGGCGGTAACCACGGGCGATGGCGTTTCTTGTTTTGGCGCTGCTGCTGCTTCTTCCAGCGCCCACCCTCGGACGGTCGCGGGGATCTCACACCGCTCCTGGTGGCTGGGGACAAGAGGGCAGAGATTTATATGGATATAGGCCGAAAAGAAGAAACGTTATTTGTCGAGAGAAGCCAGCTAAAGAGGGCACATCGCTACTGGGTGAGGTGTCGTTCGTCGTAGTTCGGTCGAGCGAAGGAATAAACAGAAATGGCCCGTTCCTCAGACAACGAGGCATTGCTTTGCAGGCAGTCACGTGTGCTGAGTCAGGCAGGCCACAACAAACGCTGGAATGGTTGATTTACTGAAGAATCTAGGATGCATAAGAATTCTGCAGAGTCAGAGTAGTTTATTTTAAGAGATCTATCTATTAGAAGATCTAGTTATTCTATTCGGTTGGGAAGCATTGGCGAGGAGCATATACGGGAAGAGCAAAAAAGAAACGACAAAAAGTTATGACAAGAGTGGGATTCGAACCCACGCCCCTTTCGAGAGTGGAATAAAGGTGCTATTGCACTTTATCGTAGCCAGGTATTCCTGGTCAAGCTTATCGCTTGAGTCCACCGCCTTAGACCGCTCGGCCATCTTGCCAATTGATAAAAGAGTTTTCAAACGAGTGCACTATGAGTGAATCCGGTCATCCTTTGAGCAGTTCATTTCGTCATAATCTGCACGCATCAGGCAAGTACTCTGTTCACATGTGTACAAACTCAACCACAATGCATCAGTAAAACAAGAAATGAAAAGTATAACGAGCTCCACTCCCAGTAATCTATGAATGATAGACTTGCTGCGAATTGCTCTATAACCCTGCAAGGGGCCTATGTCTATTGGCGGGGCAAATTATAATCGTCGACATCAAAGCAAACGAATGGAGGAAAATAAAACAAACAAAAAAAATGACAAGAGTGGGATTCGAACCCACGCCCCCTGTCGGAGATCAGGAAACTTCAGATGAAGTTGTCTGTTAAGGTAACCTTAACCTGACGCCTTGGACCGCTCGGCCATCTTGCCTGTTGTTGAATAATAGCTGTCTATTTACGTTTCATTAACCATAACAGTCCAACATATGTAAATGTCATCATTGTCTGCACACGCTGTCCAACAATTGAATTTTGGCTGCATGTTCAATGTATTTTGTTTCTGAAAGAAATTAGACTAGGTGCTTTGTTTTATTTTCATTGACAAGAGACCTCCAATCCCCCTTCCTTCAAATCAGTTGCCTCCCAATATAAACTGGACTAGCCCTTCCGCTCAAATATATATCTCAGCTGCACCAGGTACGCTGTAAATAACGTCACTTTCATTGGCCCAATCCCTACAAGCTATGCAGCACAATCCCATTTTTCCCGTATACATAAACGCGAGTTCCTATAGACAACACCCTCCCTTGTTCATCTATTGCCATTCGTACATCATACACCACACAAAGTTTTCGGCTTCCTCTGCCGAATCGTCAGTGGAGCGATATCCGACTCGGAACATACCGATACAGATTCGGAGCACTCCGGACCGTCGATGATACTCTTAGTTGAACCTACGTCAATACGGCACCGCACAACTTCTTCATTCAGACAATCGTACTGCAAAATAAACAATTTCTACAAAGAAAAGTATAGCCTTAGACACTCTAAACATAGAAAAAGGAAACAGAGAAGTACAGTCATGACCGAGTAGGAAAAATAAAAGTAAACAAATGAGCCCGTCAGGTTGATGGGTATATATCCCGGCCCTTCCGTACGCACACAACTACGCATCACTACCGACTTCGGGGCGCGTCCCTCAAAGTCGGAGAATGCTTATTCCACTTCAAACGAATCTAGACAAGGTCACGCTTGACAAACTCAGCAAGCAGGGTCTTGCCCAGAGCAGCGGGGCTTCTCTCCACGACAACACCGGCATCCTGCAGAGCGGAAATTTTCGAGTCGGCACCACCCTTACCACCGCTGACGATGGCACCAGCGTGACCCATACGGCGGCCCGGGGGAGCGCTGATACCAGCGATGAAGCTGACAGCAGGCTTGTTGTACTTGTTGTTGGCCTTGAAGAACTCGGCGGCGTCCTCCTCGGCGCTACCACCAATCTCACCAATCATGATGACACCCTCGGTCTCGGGGTCCTCAAGGAAGATACGAAGGCAGTCAATGAAGTTGGTACCGGAGAAGGGGTCACCACCGATACCAACGACGAGGGACTGACCAAGACCGGCCTGAGTAGTCTGGTTCACAGCCTCGTAGGTCAGGGTACCGGAACGAGAGACGATACCAACGCGACCACGCTTGTGGATGAAACCAGGCATGATGCCGATCTTGCATTGACCCTACAACCCATTAACATCAACGTCTATTCGAACCCACGCGCAGTGTAGACGGGTCAAACTTACGGGAGCAATGATACCGGGGCAGTTAGGACCGACCAGACGGGTCTTGTTCTGGGTCTTCAAGATGTCCGTAATGCGCACCATGTCTGTAGGGTTCTAGTTAGCTATGCGAAAACGAAAAAGTAACCGAAAGCCATACCGTGCTGAGGAATACCCTCAGTGATACTGTGGAAAGCGAAAAGTTAGCCAAAATAACTTGCAAAAGCTTCAAAAGTACTATATCTTACCAGACAGCTAGAGGAATCTCAGCCGCAATGGCCTCCTCGATACCCTTAGCGGCGAGCGGGGGGCTGGTGGGGATTAGCCTTGCGATACAACAAACCCATTCCAAGCATGCATATAGGAATCATACGGGACGAAGATAGCAGAAGCAGTGGCGCCAGTCTCCTTCACGGCATCGCTGACGTTGGCGAACACAGGGCGGTCCAAGTGCGTCGAGCCGGCCTTCTTGGGGTTGGTACCACCAACAACCTTGGTACCTGATGATTATGGTGAGTATTCCAGCTTCATTCAAAGGCGCATATCGCCTGCGTGTCGCCATATTGGAAAGAAAGAATTACCATAGGCAATGGCTTGCTCGGCGTGGAAACTGCAAAATGAAGGAAGAGCAACGTCAGCATCATTGCTCATTTTGATAGCATTGAACCGCACACACCCCACGGCGCTATCACCACCTTGACGGATACAACACTTACGTTCCCTGCTTTCCGGTGAAACCCTGGTAGATCACCTTAGTGTCGCCGTTAATGCGAAGGTTAGGGACAGTCTCAGAGTAAATTGCGCTGGCACTGGCATATCCCCGGCGCTGCACAGCAGCAACATTCTGGAGGGCCGAAAGGGTGCCACGGCGGAAGGCCTGCATGATGCTATAAAAATAAGAGAAAAATCGAAGAAAAAGAAGAAACGAAAGAGAGGAGAGGGTCAAGTTTTGACGGGGTTTGTTTATAGCAAAAAGAGAGGGAAAGAGGGAGAGTAGATTGTTTTAATGACAGCAGAAGAAACGCGGTTTGGAAGAATTCGGGACAAAGCTTTAAGCGGATCCGATTTGTTCTCGGTTGGCAGCCTCGGGGCTTTTCCTTTGAATTTTTCCCTCACTTGGGAGAGAGAGAGACGACTATCGCCAACGCAGGCTAATCTCTATTACCGGGACCTCATATTACGATCTCGATTTATTGAACGTATCTAAATCATTTCTTTACGGTCGCATCGCAGTTGCGATCGCGACACCACAACGATGGCGACCATGACAATGACCGTGCCGCCCCCCTCCAACAAGCCCAAGAAGACCGCAAAGCTGCCTCCGGAGAATGAACGGTATATGCGAGCATGCTCTGATATCGCCAATGTGCTTATCCAGGACTATGAGAGCCAGATCGACCCTACCAAGACCAAGAAGGATATCAATTTGAACAAGCTGCGGGGTCAGATTTCGAGGAAGCACTGCTTGAGCAGTCAACCGCCACTGACGGCCATTATTGCTGCGGTGCCCGAACATTACAAGAAATACATTCTTCCCAAGTTGATTGCGAAGCCGATTCGTATGTTTTGCTGTGATTTGCTGTGATATTGTATGCTGACCAGCGCAGGGACGTCGTCTGGTATCGCCGTTGTCGCCGTTATGTGTAAACCCCACCGTTGCCCTCATATTGCCTATACAGGAAACATCTGTGTCTACTGTCCCGGTGGTCCTGATTCCGACTTTGAATATTCGACCCAGTCCTACACCGGATACGAGCCCACGTCGATGCGCGCCATTCGGGCCCGCTATGATCCGTTTGAGCAGGCGAGAGGTCGGGTGGATCAGATCAAGTCCCTTGGTCACAGCGTCGACAAGGTTGAATATATCATCATGGGTGGAACATTCATGTCACTGGCGGAGGATTATCGGGAGTCTTTCATTTCGCAGCTTCACAATGCGCTGAGCGGATACCAGACCGATAATGTCGACGAGGCCGTGCAAGCGGCCGAAATGAGCAACGTGAAGTGTGTGGGGATCACCATCGAGACTCGACCCGACTACTGTCTGGACACGCATCTGAGCAGCATGCTCCGCTACGGATGCACGCGACTGGAGGTCGGAGTTCAGAGTTTGTATGAGGACGTTGCGCGAGACACCAACCGGGGCCACACGGTTGCCGCTGTGGCCGAAACATTCAAACTCTCCAAGGATGCAGGATTCAAGGTAGTCAGCCACATGATGCCTGACCTCCCCAATGTTGGCATGGAGCGGGACCTGTACCAGTTCCACGAGTACTTTGAGAACCCTGCTTTCCGTACGGACGGTCTGAAGATCTATCCCACCCTGGTCATCCGTGGTACAGGTCTATATGAGCTCTGGAGGACGGGTCGCTACAAGAACTACACCCCAAACGCACTAGTCGACCTAGTCGCCCGAATCCTCGCCTTGGTGCCTCCATGGACCCGTATCTACCGTGTGCAGCGCGATATCCCCATGCCCCTGGTCACCTCCGGCGTGGAGAACGGCAACCTGCGCGAACTCGCGCTTGCCCGCATGAAAGACTTCGGTACCTCCTGCCGCGACGTCCGCACCCGCGAGGTCGGCATCAACGAAGTCAAGAACAAGATTCGTCCATCGCAGGTCGAGCTCGTCCGCCGCGACTACACCGCTAACGGCGGCTGGGAGACCTTCCTCGCCTACGAAGACCCCAAGCAGGATATCCTGATCGGTCTACTCCGGCTCCGCAAGTGCAGCGCCACGCATACCTTCCGTCCTGAGTTTACCAGTCAACAGACTAGTATCGTGCGAGAGCTGCACGTTTACGGTACCGCTGTCCCTGTGCACGGTCGTGACTCGCGCAAGTTCCAGCACCGCGGATTTGGTACCCTCCTGATGGAGGAGGCGGAGCGCATCGCCCGCGAGGAACACGGAAGTCGCAAGATCAGTGTTATCTCCGGTGTTGGTGTGCGTAGCTACTATGCTCGTCTCGGATACACGCTTGATGGTCCTTACATGTCAAAGATGTTGGACCCTATCAAGGATGAGGAATAATCTTCCTTTCCTTATGACTATGTTTGACGATAAAAGTTTATTTCTTCGTTTCTCTTTGGCGTTGGGATAACCCTTAACTTGGGAAGCATTTCTGCATCTGTGGCGTTCGCAGCGTTGTCATGAACAGGTATATAACTTTGTATGAGTTTGATGAAATCGTTTTGAAGATAAAAAGTTAAATGATAGATGATCTATATTATTAATGGAAAAGCAAAGGTGACGCAGTAAAGCATATACCTTATTGTATATGTACAGACACGACAATGTCTTAGTCTAAAGTAAAAGAAACACCGGAATCAACACCATATAGCAAGATAAACCACAGAAACCCAGCCTTTCTCCATTACCATGCATCATATCTCAGCCGTTGAAAGTTGTCTTGTATATAAGGGCAGACTGGCGATTTCCGCAACCAGCGCAGCTTATGAGACCGAGTGTATCGTCCAAACCAAGCCGAGATTCCCACGCATAGTAATAAACCAGACAGACAAAGCAAAAGAAAAGAAACAGAGGCCTTCATCAAAAATTGTAGATTCAAAATCAATCGGCAAGCTTTAGCTCAGTGATATGGCACCACCCCTACTAGCTCGGATATGGAGGTAGGCCTGGAAAGCACAGAAGACGAAGAATGCCTATTTCGAGAGAAACAATTAGTTAGCCACTGGTATCTCCATATACAAGTGTATTCGACATATAGGTAGACGTACGGCGTATACAATCACGGCGGTAAAAATCGAGGCAGCAACGGCAGGGCCATTCTCCGGGTCGCCATCAGAGCCGGTGTAACCGGGGTGGTCGTGCTGGACAGAGAGGATTATCCGTTAGTTTCTATAGACGCAGGATGACAGGATCGCATGTCGTAGCCAAAAGGAGGGATGGGTAGACAGAGGGCCCGGACGAACCTGGTATAACGTTCCGAGGACGGAGAGGATGATGACGGCAAAGAACGAGATGACAACGCTGTATCACGAAAAAACACAAGTCAGCGACCATAGTCATAGAGACCTTGCGATATATTAATATCGTACCATGACCATGCGTTCAAAGCAGACACGATGGGCTTCATCTTGAGGTTTGGCAAACGTTCGATGCGATAAGACGGAGTTCAGGAACCAATCGGATCCAAGGTATTGATGCGGATGGTGTTGTATGAGGCTTCGCGAGACCTGGAGGATGCTTGTCGCTTCCTTGATCCCAGTATAGCGGGAAAAATGCACGGGATTGACGGTTTGGAGGTGCGATCGATGTTCTTGGGAGGTGAGTCTCGGAATGTTCGATGGCGGCGAAGCGCCTAACCGTTCTGGGCGGTGACAGAGGTATTGATATCATGCACGACGAATGCAACTTCCTAGTACTCCGTAGCCAACACACCTATTTTGTTTGTTTCACTGTGTTTTATACTGGATTCTATTAATTTTGTTCTATATGTTTGAACTTTTATACAATTGCCTCATGCCAGACATCGGTATGTACACACATCCTCAGTGCGCCTTGTTCCATTCTATACACTCATCAAAGGTAACACCAGAACCCCCAAAAATATCCAAAGCACTACCAATAGTCAAGTCGACTTTTCCTTGGCTGCTGACATGAACCTTTTCAAGGTCCTGGAGATGCCGCGCACCTCCTGCGTACGTAACAGGAATTGTACACCATTGAGCCAATTTAGCGACCAGATTTTCGTCAACACCCTGCTGTAAGCCTTCCACGTCTGCCGCGTGGATGAGGAACTCGGAGCAGTACGGTTCCAGGAATGAGATGGATTCTTCTCCGGCATTAGCATATCATACCACTTGGACGTAAGGGATTCAATGAATTAGAGTAGACATACCCTGGTTAATCTCCATCTCTGTAATTGTCTGCCAGCGGTTCATAGCCACAAACCAAGTATCATCCTTTCTGCGGCAGCTCAGATCCAAGACCAGCTTTGACCTGTCGCCTCCAAGAGCAGCGAGAACGCGCTCTAGTCGCTCTTGAGAGAACTTGCCCTCCAGGAACAGAAACGACGTGATAATGACCTGTTCAACACAATTAGCATACAGTCTCGAGCCAAACGAGTTCTAATACACCCACCTTCTCAGCACCCTGGTCAATCCAATACTGCGCATTCTCATCCGTGATACCCCCAGCAACCTGCAATCCTCCCGACCATGTCCCCAATGCCTCCTTAGCTGCATCGTCATTTCCCGGACCAAGCTTCACAACGTGCCCTCCACGTAGATCATGCTTCTGGTACAAGCCTGCATAGTGGCCGGCGGGAAGCTTGGATACATAGTTGGTTTTGAGGTCCGAGGAAACGTCACTCAGCGTTCCTCCCACAATCTGCTTGACCTGACCGGAGTGAAGGTCAATACAAGGCCTGAATTTAGTCATTTTGTCTTCTTATTCTTCGTCAATGGATGTGTCGTGCTGTGTGCAAATCGAGGGGTCGGACCAGGACTTACCTTATCGCACGTGACTAAGCGGTATCCGAAGAAAAAAACCTCCGTCGGCTTTAACGAGTTTCGCGATCAATAAAGAACCACACGCCACAATAAAAAATGATCGGAAAACGGAAGAGAGACACGTCCGTCGTGTCGCGATCTACGACGAAAGAAGAGCAGGAGCAAGATACATCAGTTCCTACGACACCTACCGAGGTCTCCCATGACCTGTTTCGCAAATTCTTCGAATCGCAGTTCGAGCCGTTAGACATTGGACCCAAAGTATCGCGGAAGGAAGAATCAGAGGAGGAAGAGGATGATGATGACGGCGAAGAAGAATCGGAAGCCGGATCTGACTGGGATGGTCTTTCAGGAGAGGATGAGGTGGAGGTGATCGAACACCACGATTCGTCTGTTAAGAAGAGCGATCTGTTGGACAAGAAAGCCCGGAAGGCTTTTATGGTATGTTCATATACTATGGATACGGAGGGACTGAATGCTAAATGTGTACAGAACGCGAAGCCACCATCATTCGACGTCGACACAACCAAAACAGAGACTAAACCTACCAAGGACTCTGGCGAAGACGAAGAGGACAAAGCTACAGACACAACGAACCTGAAGAATGATATTGCCCTACAGCGACTGCTTAAGGAATCCCACCTGCTAGACTCTGCGTCCGAGCTGGCGCCCACCGGCAAGAACCGACACAAGGCTCTTGATATGAGAATGCAATCGCTTGGAGCCAACGCATCACTCTATGACCAGAAGATGCCGTCGACACACCGAAGGGGAATTAAGACCAAGGCTGCGACCAAGGAGGACAAGCGGCGACGAGAAGCGAAGGAGAACGGAATAATTCTCGAGAAGCCTGCTCCTAAGAAACAAACCAGCAATAAGCGGAGGGAGCGTGGTGTTGGAGGGCCATCTGTTGGAAAATTCACCGGAGGAACCCTGAACTTGAGCCAACGAGACATCGATTCTATTACCCGGCGGTCCAAGGGATCCAAGGGATCCAAAGGCCGCCGTTGAGACGGATATTGGAAGGCATGATACCCATTGAATAACCACCTAGCCCAGCACCAGCCAGCTCCGGTACCAGCGGAATACAGCAACCGGTACAACGGCTTCGGTGATGACTAGGCGCAAATTGTTGCATATACCTTGTATAATTACCATCATACTGCCATCGGGTGGAAGGTCTGTACCTTTCCCTTCACCGGGCACACTGGTTCACCACGGACCATGACGAAGGAACGAACACGAATGTAAACAACACTACCAACATCAAAACACAAACATCGATGTAACTCTACAAAAAGGGGACAAGTACTTTGGTCACTCCTCTCACCTCCCCGATAGCGGCACTGGAACTCGATCCGTGTCATTCCAAATCCAACAGAGTATATCCCTCATTCTGAGACTTTAGAACAACTCCTGATCGTTCAGACCTGCGTTCAGGCAAAGTTAATTAATCCCCCAGTTTCAGATACTCCCCGGGCTCCGGGGGATTCTGAGTGCATTTTTCGTTGTTTTCTCGAAGCTCGGGCCTATATGCACGAGAGGGTTTGGACGGATTGCGCTGTTCCAGATAGGGCAAAATCCCCGACTGACTTTGGCAACTTTTTGTCCTGTGACAACATTTTTCGGTTTTTTCTATTGAATAAGGTTTGGCTGTCTGCATTTATTGAAGTGCCTGCTTGTTTTTGTTTATGTGCATTATTCGAACACAGAAAGTAGTATGCGCGGACTACTCTGTGTTTACTCCTACAGACAAGTTCTCAAACTTGACACCTCAACTGTCAGCGGCTGCACGGAAGTCGAGTCATAATCACTGCTCGCAGACCAGTATGAGGCAGCAGTGTACCAATTGACTCGTCTGTCATCATAAGAATTCTCAATATTAGTCCGGGCCAACTTCGGGCTCAAACATGGCATGCCTCGAACGCGCTTCAACCAAAAATGAATACACAGATGTTGGCTCTTACGTTTAATAAACTACTTCTGGATTAGTGGATACCATTGAGAGCCTCCGATTACACGCCCAGTTCTTCAGATTCAGCCTTCTCTTATTATTAGCAGTGGACATGCTCCATATTCCTGCACCATGGCGTGCATAATATTCCGGAGCCCTCAGTAATAGTAGTCTACCGATATTATTAGAAAACGCTACGTTTCAGATCCTCTCAAAACCGCATCGCAATGGCCAGGTCTTAGCTTTCGAATCCGAAACCGCCCCATAGCGCAGAACAGAGAACCCTCCACATCCACATCCATGCCCGTGACTACACCATGGCCATGACCATTACCATGACCAAATATCAATGCACGCATCCGTCCGTCCGCCCGTCTCACTGACCAATTCGTGATCCACCGTGGCCAAAACGAGTCAAGCAGCGGGACCACAGCCCAGGCTGGATCTATACAGACTGCTCTGCACAGATAAGCACAGACAGCCGACTTACTCGGAATACAGCGGGAAAAGTGGTAAAGATGTGTATCAATATTCCGCACGTACTACTTACTGTATCCAGTGTGTCCAGCTGAGCTTTGTTCAGGCCAGCCAGTTCTGTCCGGCCCGGTGTGTGTTTCTGGGGATTGGTGGACAATGCATATGTCGTTTACTTGTATGGAGATGGATATGAGTATGTAAGTCTACCGGGCGTGCATATGCATGCTGTATATCAGAGTACGGGCATGACTCGTTGCGAGGAGAAATGGACTTGTAGACTTGGCTTATCTACGATGAGTGTAGTGCTTGCTTTACCGTGTACAGTGTACAGACCGGTATAATGCATAATTCAACATGTTATTGAGTTCTCAAGATTGCCCGATCTCAATCTCGAGAGTAGTTGATCAGGGTTTGATTGTACTTTAGATAGGAAAATTACCATTGAACTGCCATAGTAGAGGCCTGAATGTTTTGTCCAACGGAGTACCCTATGTCCAAAGTACTCGGGAATCCCGGAGCTTCCGGACTAGTGCATGATGCTCCATAATCTGTTACCACTCCAAGCGAGAGAAAAAATCCCTGCACGTTCTGATCAAACTCCAATCCGACGAGAAATGTAGAGCACAGGTTACTCTACAGCCATGAATAGAAATAAAGATAGATAGAGAATGTGGACATGTAGATCCGTTTCAGGATAAAAGAGTAGACTACTGTCGTACCATCCAGCACGCTAAAGTCCTCTGCAGAGCACGCTACTGCACTCCTCTATCAAGAGCAGCACTGTCTGCTGATCTGGAACCATGGACTTTTCTAGAGGGTTTCAGGATGGGATGATCAAACAACATGCCTGTGCATTTTGAGTTAGGCTGTTCGAGTCAGTCGATAGATGCCATAGAGAGATCCGTAAATTACCATCTGGTGAGGGTTAATATCTGGGTCGTATAATATCGGGTATAGTACCCTAAAAGTGCGCTAACCGGATTGAGAATTTACTACGACCAGAAAAGCGTAGGGCAAAGTTTATTCGAATATTCCGGATGCTGGAGGAATAAGAATAGAGTTTTCATGATTCATTATTGAGTTGATTTGTTTTTGGCCCCTTTTATGGTATCCTGTACTCTGTAGAGTAGTACTGAGTACTGAGGTGAGGTTGTATGGGTGTTGACAATGCACAATAGCATCTTGCGACAAAGCCAGTATGCAGCCAGATCCTCTGCAGTTATGACATTGGCATTCGTACCAAGGCCAGCAGTTCACACGTTCGACCAAATACCTCTGGCACTCCGTACCTAGTGTGGCCTCCTGCAGAACAACCAAGCCGGACAAGAAACCAGATTGGTGCTCGACGAACAGGGCTCGTATTCCAGAAGTTCTAGTTCTGGGACTAGAACAAAGTAGCCCATAGGTCCCGGAAGTTACAATCGCCATCGCCATGATCACCACCCAGGGGTGAGTAAGGATCTCGAAAATGACCGATTATTATCCTCGAGTTGCTAATTCTCCGCGTAGATCGCAACCTCATGATTCTCAAATTCCTCCGAGTGACCATGGGGGATGTGAGGATTGGCCTGGCTCTCGAGATTAGCAGATACGAGTCCAAGATCGACACCAGGAAAGGGAGAAGGATGATGCTAGTACTGGTCAGCCTTGCTGCATGCGGAAGTTATCATTGCAAAAGCATGATGGCCGGGGTGCTGGGCGGCCGCTGATCATGAGATCCTTCGCAGTCGGGTGTCGAAAGGAGGATATTGGGATGGACAATAGAAGCTTCGACGGCTTGACGAGTCGATTTGGATGTGCAGCGTTATAGGTGAGTTCTGTACTCCGTACTTGTACTCTGTCTTCTGTACAACGCAGCAGGTATCTATAGATAACCGCCACTGACCACTCTTCGGCTGAATAGGTGGACCCGTTAATATCGAGCAATCTGTACTACGTACTCTGTTAATGTACAAAAGAGCCTTTGAAGAATTGCTATCCTGTCAAGATCCAAATCAATTGACTTTGTATTCAAAGTATACTACATACTCTGGAGTAGAACATACTTTCGGAGAGGAGTCGCATCCAAGGTTGGACCACACGAGCTAAGCTTTTACTGTTTTTCATCAACGGCTGTGCAGATCAGACACGTACGGAACATAGAAGAGACGTTGATATAACAGTACGTACTGACATTTGATTAATCAATTATATGAATTGATGTATTCTTTTTATTCAATTTATCTTAATAGCACGAGGATGTACAATACAGGCAGGAGTACTCAATACGGAATCCGGGCTTGACCGGAATGCGGCGCAATGCTGATCGTCATATCGCAGTCATGCCAGAAGCAAACGGTTGATGTTTGTTGACCAATGGCTGGAGTTTAGATTCTCAAAATTGAGCCGACCTACTCACAGTTGTAGTTACTCGTACCAATACTCTGCACCTTTATAGATGCCAAGATCTGTACCTGACAGATCAGATGCAATATAAATGATTTATTTGTATACTGGCTGGTGTACTCCGTAAGGAGGTTTATGTACGGGGGTTATTCAATAGTGAACGGCCAACGGTCAACGGTCAGCCACCTGTACAGGTTGTGATTAATTATCCCACGTAGTGACTTGCCCGTTGTGGTTAAATCCATACGGCATAAACAGGACATCCCATTGGCCCATGTAAGCGCCCTCCACTCACCCTGGAATCTGAAACACGGGGCGGATGCTTCACAATGGGCTTGGCATGGGTAGCAGATTGTCCTTCCGGCTCCGATGAATCCTACTCCGTACTCTGTACACAGCACACTGCTACATAGTACGTACTCTAGTGTCCGGATGAGTACTTTGTGCAGAGTAGAGCAATGAACAAGCGCTGTAATCTGCAGATTTGATTATTCTGACCCCTACGCCAGCAAGGATACCTATTATTGCGAAATGCATAGCTTCCATCTCCTTTATGCACGTCCCGAGAGGAGAGCAAGTGCACTCCGGATACTCTCGTATTGACTCGATAACCTGATCTGGCGGTATATCCGAAGGCTGGAAGAAATCCGGGAGGCTAGCCCAGTGAACGGTCCAATTGATGTCGATCCACTATATACCGTAGAGTGTACTCTGTACTCTGTAGATACAATTATCCGTACTCCGTAGTGTTCTAGATGGGACCCCGGTGTGGCAATTGTCAGTCTGTATGGATACAATATGATGTATGATTCTTCAGCAGAAATGGATAATAAAATGCCAAATTAAGGTACCAACGGCTATCCAATGGGTTGTATGGGCGAGTCCCATGGATGGATTTGTTTCTATGTTGGGTTCTGGATTTCTACCGGTGGAGAGACACTAATCCTTTTCGGGCTGCGTGGGACTGATTCCCGATGGGGCAATCGTTTTTTCTGATCCGGATCCACCGATTACCGTATTGTACTGTATCAGATGTGGTAACTTACCAGTTTCTCATGGTGGTCCCTGGAAGGTGCCTGTATCGGTAATACCACCGGTCCCTGGCGCCTCCAGCCAACCAGTTATTGTTGTTATTATAGCTCCATAATAAATGGTAATATTATTGTACTTGTATTTCCACCCCCTCGATTTGACCTCAATTTCGCTAACAGCCCGATTGACGTTGTCCGGTGGTCGTATTATCTTAGAGTGTGTTCTCTATTCTTCATCTTCTCGACTGTCAAGGAAATCGCATTTTTTTTTTTTTTTTTTTACCCTCCCTTTTTTCCCATATTTTCCCTTCTTATCCACCCTCTTCTCCCACCTCCTCCCTCTATTCTTTTTCTCTCTCTCTCCCTCACTCTCACTCTACCCACCATCCACCCACTTACAGGTGCTCCCTTTCTTTCGTTTCATTTTCGCCGTGCGAGAATTACCCCCTACTATCACTTTATTGTTCTATATTATTATCTATTATTATTGCCTTCTTCTTCTTTTTTACATAAAAAAATATTAAAAAACCACATCCAAAAATAGAGAGAACTTGAATATAGGCAGGGCCCTTTTCAATTCTCTCTTTTTACGCGCGCTCGTTATTCTCCATCGCTGGGACGAGCCACTCTGCTACTCCAGTCAGCTCAGCTCAGCAGCTCAGAGCACCTGCTAAAAAAAACTCCCTTGAAAGAGGCTGGTTCCTCTGTTCATCTCATCTTCTTCATCCTTCATATTTACTACTACTGCCGTCAAGTGCTTCGATAGCATCTGCGCGCTTTCATCGCATCACTCGCTTGCCGCTTGTTTGAGTGTTGTCTATATATCGGTGGTTGCTCTCTTTCACTTTTGTCGCGCGCGCTCTTCTATCAAGGCGCTAGCAATCAATTCTTCCTTTTTCTGTCTGTCTGTGGCTGAGTCGATTGACGGGTTTCTTTGACTGTATGTCCATGCCCTTCTCTTTCATTTTCTCCCTTCCGTGTCAGAACATATGAAACAACACGGCTTGTTTATATCCCGACTGCATCAGGCAAACTAACAGAATCACTATCAGGTCGCTACCTTTTATACCATGTATCCCCACCATGGTCCCCCGATGCCTCCTCCGCAGAAGCCGGAGACTTTCATGCTCTCCAGCGAGGCGCAGCAGAGTCTGCCTCACGATGCGCAAGTCGCGCTGCAGCAAGTCGATAACCGTACGACCTCGTTGAGAAATCCCGCTTGTCCGGACAGCCAGCTTACTATTCAACAGTGAAATACTTCCTCTTGTCGGCTCCTGTGGACTGGCAACCCGATCAATTCGTTCGACGCTTCTTGCTGCCCACGGGCGAACACATTTCCTGCGTGCTTTGGTCAGTGTTGAATGAGATGATATAGCGGACAATCACATGGATCGTGGCCTTGGAGGAACCTGGCGCTAACACTCAACAGGAGCAACCTCTTCCACATCTCAGGAACCGATATCGTTCGATGTCTGGCGTTCCGTTTCACAGCCTTTGGTCGTCCCGTCAAGAACTCGAAAAAGTTCGAGGAAGGCATCTTCTCCGACTTGCGAAACCTCAAGGCCGGTACCGATGCCACACTCGAAGAGCCCAAGAGCCCCTTCCTCGACTTCCTCTACAAGAACAACTGCATCCGGACACAGAAGAAGCAAAAGGTCTTCTACTGGTATAGCGTCCCGCACGATCGTCTCTTCCTCGATGCCCTTGAACGGGACTTGAAGAGGGAGAAGATGGGCCAGGAGGCCACCACCGTTGCCGTCAGCGAGCCCGCCTTGTCTTTCGAATTCGATTCGTCCCAGTCGCTCTATGAGCAGCTCACCAAGGCTCAGCAAGCTAACACTTCTTCGTTTGCTGCACACGCAAGTACGACATTTGGCCAACCCACCTCCCCAATCGTGCGGTCCGTTGACGCTATGCCTCCTCCGCAGATGGCTCCGCAGATGGCTCCCCAGATGGCTCCCCCGGCGCTCCCTTTCCTGCCGGACGAGTCGGCCAACGCGGCGATCTACAATGCGATCCCCTTGCCCCCTACGCTAGCCCATAATTTCATCAAGCGTGAGCAGGATTTCGCCCCCATCCAGTACGACCGCAACGGGATGCCTATCGCCCGCATGCACCAGCGTCACGCCTCCATGCCGACCTTTGTTGAGTACTCGCCGGCCCCCTCCTTCGTTTCCTCCCATTTTGAAGACTACAGCAACCGCGGCTTGTCGTTTGAGCCCGTGACTCCCCCGCAGCATCATGCGCCCCTGGGTCCTGAGCCGGCGTACATTGCCAATGAAGACACGGGTCTCTACACGGCCATTCCGGACATCTCGTCCGCTCCGTCTTTCAACCCTTTGATGCAGCTGCCTCCCTCCAACCTGGCCAGTGCCCATTTCCCGGCCCCACCGCGGACGTTCCCCTACTCGGTCCTTGAGGGTTCCCCCACCTATAAGCAGCGGAGACGTCGTTCTTCGGTCACCCCGGGAGCCGCCAACACTGCCATGGCTACTGCGGCCACACCCCAAACCACAGCCGCTCCCGCCCAGACAATGGCGTATGCAGCACACAGACCCAGTGACCTGCGGCGATCCATGTCGAACTCGGTGACTCCCGCTGTGACTGAGGCCGGTAATGAATCGCAGTCGCAGCGCGCCACGGCGAGCTACCCGGCCGTCCTCCCCCAGAAGGACTTGTTGCAGGAAATTTCCCGCCATGGTACCCCGCTTTCCAACTTTGAAGAGAGCGCCGGTCAAAATGTTCTGTCCCTGAACAACGCGCAGGATGACTTGGCGGCTTTCCCGACCGATGAGACCGTTGACGCCGCTGTGCAGAACAGTGCAACAAATAAGGCAGAGCGATACGTTCCGGGCCCGGTCCGCCGTGCTCGAAGCGCTACCATGATGGAGCTTGGACCCTATCCGCAAAAGTCCCACTCGTGTCCAATCCCATCGTGTGGACGACTATTCAAGAGACTAGAGCATTTGAAGCGGTAAGTTTTGATTGCATCATTCTTCAGGCGCCTGCTCTTCGTGATCTGGTTGGTCCGGTTTGCGATGATCGGCGTGCTGGTAATTTTATTTGTAGCCGCCCAGCTGACAGTTTTGGCGCCCAGACATGTTCGAACCCACACCCAAGAACGGCCATACCCTTGCCCTTACTGCAACAAGGCATTCTCGCGATCCGACAACCTTGCACAGTGAGTTTTCCTTAGCCTATCATTTTGTATGTACATCTGCTTATCATTCCTACAGACACCGTCGGATCCATGAGGCTCAACAAGATGGTCAGCCGCCGCTGTCAACACATGAGGAAGAGTTGGAGAACGAGGAAAATGAATTCGGCTCGCCGGACGAGGACTTGTCACCGCATGACACTTCAATTTCAACCTCCATGATGAACATGACCACTATGACCTCTATGCCGACCACCATGGCCACCACCATGAGCATGCCTCCTATGCATACCATGGTTGCTCCGAATATGATTGCACCCCAGCTCCTGCAGCAGCATATATGAGCACCAATATATTAGCAGGATACCACATTTACAATCA